CTTGGCAAATCCTTAAGCTCCAAGAGGAGTTTCAGTACCATGCAGCCTCAACAATGAGCATAATTTCCCATTTATTTCTTGACTTATCCCACCGTCTATAACTAAAGAATATACGTATGATTTTTTTCGTACATACGGGCATGCCGCATATGGAAAATGCTAACGAGGCATGCCCGCGTGCCCTCGCCCTCCGGGGCATGCCTTGAGTTGTGCCTCCAACACTACAGCCAGTATATATATTTTTAAGAGAGAACGGTTCCGAACGGTGCACATGAAGAATAGAGTAGATTACGGCCAAGATTTGAAGCGAGAATATATATTTGTAAGAGAATACGGTTTCCTATCGGTGCACATGAAGAATAGAGTAGATTACAGCCAAGATTTGAAGCGAGAAACGTTAGACCTGGAATAGTAATGAGATTGTCTTGAAATCCATTTGAGTTTAAAGAAGCCAGTCAAACTAGGTTTAGGTTTAGGACAGGACAGCTTCAGCAATTAATTCGCACTTCTTCACGGGATATGATCTCGTGAACATTGCCAACAGTTTGGAGAAGAATCTCACATGTTCTTGTTTTCTGGAGATCGGTAGACCCTCTCAGATGTTTGTAGGTGTTACATCCATGGATTTGATGCAAATTAATGGTTACTATTTTCTCATGCGATAAAGAGCACAGTTGTCACAAACTCACACAATGCTTTGTAATGAAAATTTGGATTCATTGTAGATTTTCGCCACAAAAAATTGACAAAAGTTCAGATGGCGTATGTACGGGAATGGCGATATTTATAGAAGGATACACACGAGTGACTACAATCTCGTTCAATCTATCGGAGTCTTGTGCAGCACGTCTTGTGCAGTCCGATGCCGAGGATAAATGGAGAACCGGAGGTGCATGATAATAAAAGGAAGGAACAAAGGGAGTGTTTTAGGGAGAACCAACATTCAGGAAGAGGTGACGAGTGGCGACCCACGTGGCACTAGTACTCCCGAAGGTCAAGCTTGTGACGCGCCTCGCGCGCTCCAGGATAGCCAAGACGACGACATGACGTACGTACGCACTGTTGGTCTGACCGGCGACGACGACATTAGTCGCCGGCAAAGACGACGGAGTCGGGCGGTCAGCGGTGGACGCATCTATCTGCAAACGACCGAACGCGGGGCTTTTCAACGACCGGAAGGCCGGTGCTGGAGACCGAACGTCTCGATCACGGTCGGGCCGTAACGTAGGAGCGTTGTACAGCGTCGGTCGGTCAACCGTGTAGGAGAGAACAGAGTTGAAGATTCGTCGGGAGCAAGTACAAAGGAGGCAGAACGGCTTCACGGACGCGGTTGCATCAACGGTTGCACAGTTGATGATTTTCGCCATGTCAAGGGGAGAACTAAGCTTCCCGCTGACATAATGAAAATGAGCTGGACATTGGACATAGCTTGTTCATTTCTTTCATGTGCACTCATAAGCATTTAATTTGTCAACTACAGGGCGGCAAAGTTTTCTTCACACAGGGGGAATCTTGTGAATTATTCTCTTCCTCACCTCTGACATGGCGGAATCATCGCTGAAAGTCGACCAAATTCATACAGCATGTGGATGTGGTAGCACAGGAAAGCAAAACCGGACGAAAAATATTCAGAATAGTCCAAATATGAGTAAATTTTCTTGAGGATTTTTTTGGTCTGAGTATTTGAAATTTTTGACAAAAAGCACAGAGGTGAGGAAGAGAATGATTCACAAGAATCCCTTTCTGTGAAGAAAACTTTGCAGCCCTCTAGTTGACAAATCAAATGCTTATGAGTGCAAATGAAAGAGAATGAACAAGCCACGAGCGAACGCATTCAATGTCCAGCACATGTTCCTTTTGAAGCTTAGTTCTCCCTTTGACATGGCGAGAATCATCTCTGGAAGTCGACCAAACTCGTACAGCATGTGGATGTTGTGGCACGGGAAAGCACAACCTGACGAAAATTATTCATAACAGTCCAAATATGACTTTCAGTAAAATTTCTTCTGGATATTTTTCTGTCCACATATTTGAAATTTTAGACAGGACAAATTCTCTTGAAATTTTACTGAAATTCATATTTGGATTGTTCTGAATAATTTTCGTTGGACTTTTCTGAATAATTTTCGTTCTGAAGTGTTTGTTCAACTTGTTTTCTCAAGAACTCTTTTTTCTTTAATATTATCCTGTTCTTTCGGTGTGCTCGTTTGGCTTCAGCTTCTTTGCCGTCTCCATTCGGCAACAGCTGAACAACGGTGATTTCACGTTTGAGGAAAAAACAAGGGGAATAAGCATTTGAGTTGTTGGATAAAAATCACTCGCACCAATTTTCCGCAATAATTCATACCAAAAAGACATCGTCTGGAAAGACAGGATCCGGAAAAGAAAAAGACCAGGAGGTCCAGAAGGGCAACTTTTGCAAAAACGCGAAAGTGTGGGTGAAGGTTCAGGCGAAGAGACCAGCGAATCGGGAAATGTCATTCGGAGTCGAGAAGGCAGTTGATTTCGGGTGTGAGTGAAGGTTCAGGCGAAGAGACCAGCGAATCGGGAAATGTCATTCGGAGTCGTGGAGGCAGTTGAATTCGGGTGTGGGTGAAGGTTCAGGCGAAGAGACCAGCCCATCGGGAAATTTCATTCGCAGTCGTGGAGGCAGTTGAACTCGGGTTCGGATTCGGATTCCACGGGGCGACGTCGAGCTTCTGCGTCCTGGTTTCGGAGGAACGATCAAGCGGAAGGCGAGATTCGTCGAAGAGGGTAGGTTTCGGTTGGGCCAATGGGTTGACCGCTAGCGCAGTGGTCATGCGTGGGGGCGATGCCATGCACCATCCGGGGTCGAGCTCCTGCATGCATCTGCTTGGCGCTCAAAGGGGCTTTCGAGGTGCCCTCCGGTGCAAATGTGAAGAACTTTCGTTTCTTTAGGGGTTCTTCACCTGGCTCCCATTAAAATGCGCACAAAGGCCCGAGCTTTCTCTCCGATTGCTGAGGCTTGGAGTTGTAAGCCCTCCCATCGCTGCTGGAGTAGGCGCTAATTTTGTTTTCGTGCCTTCAATGCGTCGAATATCGCCATCCTTTTTAGGTGGTCTGTGGGTCATTTTGCGTTGGGGATTCATGCTGCTGTCGCCACAAAGCAATGCAAGCTCTGAGGCCAAACCCAGACTCATGCGGCAGTGGCTTCCGTCCGGCTCACACTGAGTTGTCAAGATTCCATGGAGATAAGTGCAAATGATCGAAATTGCCGAAACGAAAATCACATATTTACACTCTTCTGGTATACCGTATTAAATTTGTACTCCGTGCAACCTCCCTGAAGCTACGTAGTTCGTTATCAGCAGAACCGTTATTATCCACGAGGACTGAATATGAGTGTTACTCAGATTTACAAAAAATATTAATCTATGGTGGGATCCTACTAACAACTTAAAAGCTTCAATTATCAAACAAGATGAAAACTTATCCAAAATTTGATCCAATTTCCAATGCTATTAGAATGTTCATTCCAATACTGAAATTCAGATTATCTTGGAATAAACATTCTATAAATTGATTAATAGTTAACATGATTATTTGAAAAGAACAAAATTTAAGTAAGAAAAAGTTGAGATTTCATGACATGAAAGAAATGATTGAACTTTAATATTCAATATTTTTAGTGTTTGAATCCAAGGAATATTATTAAGAATGTAATTTTGAAGTAACAAGCTATTTCTAAACGCCAGAAAGTTAAAATTAATAATCGATATTGGAAGTTACATGACGATCTGTTAGATATCATTGTTCATTGCATTTTCTGTTATCCAATTGTATTTCTTGGAATTATTTTATTCTGATGAAATCATCTTATGGAGTTATGTGGATCCAAAAAAGTCTATCTGAAATATTAAACTACTGTAAAACAAAGTCCCGATGGTTTACGAGAAAATTTGTTCTAATGGTTCAACATATAAAGTAAACCAAATTATATAGAAGAATATAATAAGTATACCATAATCAATGATGTGATAATTAATAATATATTGCTAACTTATGTGATCTATTGTAAGAAAGCATTATTTCAAGTAAAATTATATACGACTTATTGCTATTTCAGATCTAGACTTATCATGTTTAGAAAATAGAAAATATAATATTGCAGAAGACTATAGGAGGGGCTTGACTTTTACTATATTGACCCAAGGTATGCCATAGATGATTGTGCCAAAGTGACATTTCAAATTGGAATTAAATTATATTCAGTCAACGAGAAGAAAGAAAAAGCTTTACATCAAAGCATACGAATAGGGTACCGTTTGGTACTTATAAAGGAATGTTGGCGTTAAATTGGTGCACAAATGGTGATTAATATGTAATTTCGACTTTGTAGACTTCAAAGTTTCTTTTGTTTTGGACATCGAACCTAAACCCGACATCCTTTTCCATAACTGTTTCCATATTTTGGAAGTCAGCTGCATTTGCGCGTGTGGAGTTTACGTGTTTAGTTTTCTTATTTTCACAGTTTGCTCTTGTATACCATTTGCCAATCAGCGTCTCATAAAGTAAACGACTAGAAGCATGTAAACTATGCCTGTAACGGTTATACTATAACCGTTACAGGCATAGCATGAATATAAATGTCTTCTAGAAGACTTGGAGGTTATAGTATAACCTTTTCATCTTTATGATCATTTTTATTTGCTGAAATTAATTATTAATCATTAATCACCAATCGTCCCTTGAATATGCTAAATCTTCACATTACAGACGTATATCTATCAGGAGGAGATGCTTCACCGTCCGTCGTTACCATGTACAAAGTTTTCAAGGTATAATGAAACCCATCGATTCATCTTGTGAATAACAATGGTGACTAGAAGTTTTTGAAAAATAAACCATATATGCATGAACTTGTCTTCTATAGTAAACCCGGTCGCCTGATGACGTTTACTGCAGTGGCACGGCACTCGTTATAAAACATCGGCACGTCCATCTGATTTGCTACCGTATATATACAGCAGTCGCTGCACCGCTATTTATATACGGTAGGGATGTTCGTAATCGATCGTTGGGCCAATTTGAAAGGCACGGGTGGTGAGAGCGAGAGACGTTCGATGCGGTCGGGTCTCGGAGATGCATGCATATCTGGCTAATTTCGACGTGCTTCGACGTTGATGTATCCGAATTAGGCACATGGCCGTTTGACGAGAAGCTCGACTTCAATCGGGCACGGAAATCGGCATCGGCACAGAGATTTCTTCGGTCCGAGCCGAGACTACGGCTGCTGGTGCTGCCACTACTTTAGATTGGACCTCGCCTCGCAATAAGGTTTTACCTTCCTCTCTCGATGGGCGGTGACGGTGGCTAGTGCTTCAAAACTGGATAACTGGATTTGGAAAAAGTGGAAATCCCAGTTTTGTCCAGGCGCGTTCGACCCCCGTGCATTTTGCGGGCTCGCTTGTCGTTTGATCTGGACAGGCGTAGAGCTGCCTCAACAAATTTGTCGCTGCCTCGACGAATTCTCTGGCACGATTCTCCGAAGATTGTTGCCGCATCGGTCACCGTGCTGCTGCTGAAATTGGCTACTTCTGAACACACTCCGCGACGCATATGTTGGTCTGCCAGTATATATACAAGCCACTTGCAGTATCCAAGGTCTTTTTTTTCAGCGCGAGAATCCTTCAGGGTCCTTGACTGACTGACTGCGACGCATATGTTGGTCTGTAGTATACATACAAGCCACTTGTGCGTCAGAGGTCTGGTTATTCAGCGCGAGAATCCTCCAGGGTCCTTGACTGACTGACTGACTTGAGCCATCTCTGAGCTCGTGCGTGGTAACGGGGACGACATCTGAAGTCCTGCGATCTCCACACGGACGACAAAGGTGTTCGCTCCTCGGACCTCAACGCGGACGACGCAGGGACCAGCTTCTGTGAAGGCACCGCGGAGTAGGCAGCGTTGAGTTGTGCGACCTGAGAGCATGGCGCTGTGGGCGAGCGCGGCGTTCAGATCCTTGTCGGAGGTGTCAGGGCCGAGCTCGCGCTTGGTGCCTGACATGACCGACAGGAAGCCCGCGAGGGATAGACAGCAGCACGGGATGGCGCTGGCGTCACTGCGAAACCCCGTGGGGCCGTCTTCGACTCCGCGCAATCTCAAGCTGAAGTCGCTGATGGACCACCAACGCTCGGCACTCGCCAGGCGACACCTGACGATGATGGAAACATTGGAGGGAGGAATCCTCTGCGAGTGCTGCAGAACCGGGCCCCGGCCTGGCACTGCAGCAGGAAGGGAGGAAAGGATGCGACAGCAGTTCCGAACCAGGAGTATGGCCGCCGAGCATCAACGAGGCGAAGGTAAGCCGAAAAATCTCTCTTCCTTCGTCCGGGTCTCGAGAAATTCGTCTGTGCCCGTGCTGTGCAACAAGCTTTAGAGATCTCGTGCTGAATTTGCATTAATCCCTCGGTGATCGTGCAGGCTCCGAGGATGATGAGGAGGACCCGGTGTTTCGGCTCATCATCGACGGGGACGCAATCCATACCGTGGACTGGCCGATAATGGATCAGGCCGCCGTCGGGCCCGATAACGCGAAGGCGATTGTCAATGGAGATTGCAGCGCTGCCGGGAGCGAGAAGAACGGCGCGCACGCGAACGGAGCTGTGCACACGAACGGAGCGACGACGACGACGACGAATCAGCACGACGCCCACGCAAACGGAGCTATGCACACGAACGGAGCGACGACGACGAATCAGCACGGCGTGCACGCGAACGAAGCTATGCACACGAACGGAGCGACGACGACGACGACGACGAATCAGCACGTCAACGGCATCGACACTCGCGCGGCGGAAGCCGAGCGAGCGAACCAGGAACTTACGAAGGACCACGGCAATGGCCGTGGCTATGAAACCAACGGGGCTCACAATTACGATCACGATCACATGCACAGCAACGGAGCCACCACCGTCGATCGTTCCGAGGCCGGGGCGACGGCCGAACCCACTCTCAACGGAGCGACTACCGTCGACGCGAGCACTCCCCCTGCCGCTTTTGTCGAGCAATCGAAGAAGGTATACATCGAAAAGCCGACGGAGGCTCAGGCTCCAGCGACTTCGGCCAAGCCGAAGCGCGCGCAATTGAAGCCGGCACCGAGCGCAGAAGAGCTCGATGGGCAGCATATTCAAGTGAGGAAGTTCCTCAAGAACAAAAATTTGCTCTACATCGGAGTCACAGGCTTTCTCTGCAAAGGTAAACCTTGTGCTTTGAAATCTCTTCTTGTGCTGTAAACTTTTTTTTTTGGAGGTACGAGCTCGAATTCGACTAACGCGATTTACTGAACACGAGCCACTTGTGCCGGTGAAATATGCTCGCAGTTGCCGCGGAGAGAACGCTGGACGTTCAACCGGACGTAGGAACGATCTACGTCCTTGTCAAGCCGAATTCAACCGGCGACGCACAGGCTCGATTGCGAAAAGATGTATCGATCTGACCCTTTGCTTTACTTGCGCCTTCAATGCAGCCGGACCTGACAGATGCCTTTAGTTAGTTCGATGTCGTGCCTGGCCGCTAAGAAGAGGCGGCCTTGTGCTGTCGCAATGCAGATCATCGGGAGTGAAATATTCGAAGCGTTGAAGAAAAAGTACGGAGAAGAGCGGTTCCTCGAGTTCATGAAACAAAAGGTCGTTGCGATCCCAGGGAACATAGTGGAGAAAGATCTCGCCTTAGCCCCGGCCGACGCGAAAATGTTGATGGAGCGCATCGATGTCATTGTGAATTCCGCCGCGACCACCAAGTTCGACGAGAGGTACGTGAACGTAGCCTCGAGGATGCTCGCTTTGCGATTACGTTGGACTTGTATTCTTTATGGGAGAACGGGTCAATGCACGGTCAATGGGTCAATGTACAGGTCAACTGTCTTGGCCGCGGGATGGGGGACTGATGTTGTCGGGCCGTCTGTGGGTGTCTGTTGCCAGGTACGATCTGGCGTTGGAACTCAACACTTTCGGGCCTTACAACGTTCTCGAATTCGCCAAAAAGTGCAGCAGGCGCCCGATGCTAGTGCATATTTCCACAGGTAATGACGGGCGCTGGCCGGTTGCCGGTCGCCGGTCTCGATGCCCGCCCCATGCACGCCCACGCTGGCGGCGGGGATCGTCCGTCCCTTAGTTGCTCTAGTAGGCCTTCCTTTCCCTCGAGGCATTGACAAATTTTGTGCTCGTTGCTGTTCAGCTTACGTCAATGGCAAGCGCCGAGGGGTGTCGAAGGAGGAACCCTTCGAGTATGGCCAGACTCTTTTACCGGAAATTCAAGACTTCGCGGACGATCCCGACGAACCCGACGACTCGAGCGGCGTCTTCTCCGAGTGGAGAAAGCAGGCCGTGACTAAGCTCATCAAGCCCTTCTGGCCGGCACCGGCGGACAAGGTGAAGGCAGCCAGGAAGAACCGCATGATAGAATCGCTAAACGAGTTCCTGCTGGAGAATGACGCCGAGACGGCGTTTGTCAACCCTGAAAAGGAGCTTGAATTGGCCTTGAAGTGTCGCGCAGCACGTGAGCCTGTAGATGAGAAGCTGCCTGTAGAAGAGAAGCAGCGTGAAGAAGAGAAGCAGCGTGTAGAAGAGAAGCAGCGCATGGAGCTTCTGGGACACATGAGGTGATATACGATTTTGTGCAAAACCCCTCGCGGTGGTCTGACCCTTGTCCATTTCTGTTCTCTTCTTCTGACCGTGGGATTTGGCTTTGGGCTTGGACGAATCAGGGCGAATACTTTCGGATGGCAAGACGCGTACGTGTTTACCAAGGCCATGGGGGAGATGATGCTGATGAAGTACAAGGAAGACTTACCGATTGTTATCATCCGCCCCAGCGTGGTCGAGAGTACGCTGAAGAAGCCGTTCGATGGATGGATCGAAGGCAACCGGTGCGTTGCAGTCGCATGCGATTTCTAAAGTCATGCATACGGACGTGATCCAGTCGCTCGGATGACTGTAACATGTCTCACTCGACGGACTCGCCGACTGATGATTTTGTGCTGTGGTTGCTTGCAGAATGCTGGACCCTATCGTGCTGCACTATGGCAAAGGAGACCTGACGGGGTTCCGTGTTGATCCTGATGTTACCCTGGATATCGTAAGTGGGGATTGTCCACTTCGTTTAGTATTGCCTTTCGTTCAGAAGTTGCAGTTGGGGAGTCTGATGTAAGTCCGAGTTGATGTTGAAGGTAATATGCTGAAAGCATCGATGGGTTGTGGCTGTGATTGTACAGATTCCTGCAGATATCGTCGCCAACGTTATTCTGGCAGCGATGGCGAAACATGGAGGTTATGAGCAAATGTACCCGTTCGTGTACCAAGTGGCCAGTTCGGCCAGCAACCCGTTGACGATGCGACAGATTGCAGACACTGCATACGAGCATTTTTCAGAGTTTCCAATGCAGAAGAAGGAGAAAGCGGAGGAGAACGGGAAAAAAGAGGAGGAAGAAATCAAGGAATTGGTTTACAGGCCAATGACGTTCATTACCAACGAGCGTGATTTTCAAGCGTTGCTTTTCTTCAGATATGGTGTGCCAATGCAGGTAAGTTGTTTTTTAAAGTCAGGTGTCTGGTATATGATGAATGTCCGAATTTTCAATGTCCGTAGGGTGGCAGGCCAGTTGTACTCTTTCGGTTGAAGTAACAGTGAACTCGGATATTTGAATTTTCTGCAGCTGATGGAACTCATGTCGAGATTTCTAAATCTCCCGTGGATTAAGAAACTCATTGGAGGACGGAATGAGAACCCGGTGGTAAAGATCGTGCAACACTGGAAGAGGAACTGTGTTTCGCATACTAGACGGATCGGACTCCTACTGAGCAGTGTCACGCATATGGCGGAAGTCTACAAGCCGTACGTGTTTTACAAGGGCAGGTGCGTCTGCTATTCACTATCTATGTTTCTGGAGCTCGTGATTACGAAGGAAGGGTGTTATGTGAGTCACTGATCTTCTTAAACACGTTCGCAATTTTTAACTGCAGATTTGATGCGACGAACAGCGAAATGATCTTGACGGAAATCGCGCCGGAGGAGAGAAGTATGTTTAGCTATAGTGTAAAGAATGTAGATTGGAGAAGCTACTTGCGTGACAGCCACTTCGTTGGGCTCAGACAGCATGTGCTTAAATGGCTCAGATGTAAAAAGATAGGCCGCAACTGGACTATTGTGATTCCGCCGTCGGACCCCGAATGGATAGGTAGAGGAGACGAACGGTAGAGGGAGGGTTGCATGACACCAGGAGTTATTGAAAGCAATTACTGCTCTCCTGGTGCGATGACTTTTCCCGCAGAGTAGATATTAGGTGATTCAGTTTTCCTCTGATGTAGTTTAGTCTAATCCCAATCATATAATGTGCGGTCGTTGATGGCGGAATCGTTGCCGCAGCTAGTAGAATAGGTGCATTTTCCTACTAATGCAGTGTAATGTACATTAGCAGGAAAATGATGTGAAGTTGTAAGATGATGTTGTAAACTGGACAATATGCGTTGTAGCAGGGGGCAACAGAGGCACGGGTAAGTTTGCCATAACATATATGGTGGATAAATAGACGGGTTTGAACACAGCGTGGAAAGGCTTTTCCAAACGGTGCGTGCATCCCGTTCATAGAGGCACACGGGCAGAGGAATGTCAAATGTCATCAGGTTTCAAGCCTTTTTAAGCGTTGTTAAACAAGATGATAAACCGCCGAACTCACCGACAACGGATCTTCGTTTTTTGTTTCGGATTCGCAGCACGGTACATGAGTATGCTGTGAACTCGTTGTACCGGAAAGAGGGACCTTGTGCTTAGGCATCTAGTTATGCGCAGGACTGACTATATCGTTTCGAATAATGATAGACAAATGAGCTCGACGAAGAAGTTATGGGACTTCATTTGAACTGCCCATAGAAACTCTAGGCCAGGGCCGCAGGCATTCTTCAGCCCGAAAACGATCTGCGGATCTCGAGAACCGAATTACATACGGGAGAGTTCCTCTTCAAGATCTAACGTTCGGACAAAGAAACACTCGAATTGGAGACTAGACTAGGAAGTTATGGCCATCTGAGTGCACTTGCCCGAACTTGGGCGCTGGTAGACTTTCATCGTCACATGTCACACTCCTCCACGTGCTTCTGCTGTGGACTGGTTGGCCTGAGACAGTGTAAGTAACCTACTTTTTGTCACACTCCACGTGCTTCTGCTGTGGACTGGTAGGCCTGTGACCATATGAGTACAGTAAACTACTCTTTGTCACACGCCACGTGCTTCTGCTGTGGACTGGTAGGCCTGAGACAGTCCAAATAAACTACGTACACGAATCCTCGTGTAGATCTAGCGATCGTCTGAGTTACCTTACAGAGTAACTCGTCTAGGCAGAGTACTTGTAGATTGGGCCTTTTGATTTTGCTCTTTCTAGTCTTAGCATGCTTCTACTGGAAACTGAGTAAACCAGTTGGAAGGACTGGCACATGTGTACATTGCCGTTTATATGAATAAACGATTGCTTATATTATTCCATGAGTCGGCTCTTTTACACACGTGATACAGAAATGTGTGTATGCTCGTTCAAATCTGATTGAATTTGTGTGTTAGCTCAACTGATTGTACTTGCATGAACAGAATTATCGGTTCACCTCTTTAGATTCCTCAGTTATTTTGATCTCTGGATGTCGAGTAATGTAATTCCAACCGTTCTAAGAGTTATCCGCCTCCTCAACTTTCTTATTCAATGAGAAATTGTAACCCGTTCTTCCGTCACCATTGATGCAAATTAGTCAAGGAATTCGTTTCTAAAGCAAGCTTAAACCCTAGAGCTTCATTCAACTCGATCTAAATCTGTCACCAGAACTCCACTTTGAAGTGCACATGTACTTAGGCTCATGTGCAAAAGAGCTTTCTTAAGATTACTTTCATCTGTGTTTGTATTTCAGCTTAAGACAATACGAAAGATTGAACGAGTAGTTAGAATCATATTTTAGACAGTACGTGCTGGCTGCTGTTCACCACTAACGCGAGCGTTTCTTACATCCTCCTCCTGCACCACCAGGAAGTCTCTTCCCACTCCGAACCTCACATTCCTAGCACTTCACCTCAATTCTATCTCTCACTGCTAGAATACTATATTTGAGTATGTACTTAAGAAGTAGGAGTAGCGGCAGGAAACGATAGCTCCCGCATGTGTTCTTGCGTTGGTCACTTCACTTTAGTAGCACTGCCTGTCTCAGACGTATTTACATCGTCATTACTTGAGAACTTTTCATGGTCTCTCGAACTTCGTGCCCTTCCAGAGTGCCTGTTTACCGAGCTACTTACTGTAACACTACGAAGAGTACTGGACGCGGAAGTTGGAGAGCACAGGAAAGAAACAGACGCAGTTCTCACATGAGGTGTATTTCTATACTGAACGGTGATCAACTGATTTTCGAACCTGGAACCATTCAGGTGGGTCTTGGCAACTACGACGGATTCGGGTAGCCTGAAATTGATAAAGCATCGTCCACTTGAGCAGATGAACTTCCAACCCGTGAGATCACCAAACTTTGAGAAACTTTGAGACAGTAATTCTTCTTCACGAATCTCTACAGATCGTGAAGGTGCGATCTCCCCATAGATTACTATTTCCTGCTCCTAACTTCCTCACTCCGTAAGCTACACGAAGAGTTCTCAAAAACTCTTATTACTTTGCATTCCGAAGGGTTACACTTGTTACACAGCCATGCGCGACATCAAATTACTCCACCTCAGCTTCCATATGATTTCTCAATTTGCAAAAATAAACTCTTGCTCACCTGCCTGTAGGTGTGAACGGGAGACGGAGCCTGAATCTCCCCGCAAAGCTTTGAGGCCAGCTATGGGAGAAACATCACTTCACTACGGAGGACAGACTTCGGGCTCGTTCCGATGAGAGACAAGGGGTGTCGACCTGCGAGCGACTTGTAACTCAACCCATGAACGCAGAATCGTCTCCTTTCCGGACTCGATGACCGAATATCAAATTTTCCAAACTTCAGCATAAAACCTGACCCTTGTTACCTCCTGCATTCAACAGACTCAATTAACTCGCCGCGAATTACCAATCCGTCCTTTTTCCCGACGCTCTAAAATCCTTCACATTCTTCTTACGGATAACATCCAGTTGTGAAAATTCTCCGACTAAGAAATCAATTTCTTTTCCAATGCGAACTGTGAGCATCCGGAGTAGTTGGGCACATTGCCAATCCATACACAATCCCATGATTGCGAAAAATTGGAAGCTCACCCAAGTTTATATTCTGCAATTTGTTTCATTCTCTAAAAGAACCCAAAGAAATCCCGTTTGGGTTTTTTAAGAGAACCCGGGATTAACGGAAACCATGACCAACCTACTTAAAATTATTCTAACGTTGAGACTTTCAGCGTCAAGTGTCAACTATAAGCGCGATTATATTCTCCAACGGAAATGAATTAGTAGAGACTATACCTAGAGTTAATACAACTAAAATGAACCTTAATTTTAATTAAAGATAATATTTACACATATGACATAAAATTCATTCATTTACTTAAAAAAATATAACCCTATAATCATTTATTCATAATGGTAATAACTTGCGAGTCTTTACTTGTGTATTTTATTTTTATTTTTTACATTTTAGCTTTATTTATCCGTTTTCAATCAATGATGAAAAATAATAATCATTTACATGTTTCGTCTTCATTCAGCTCTATTCATCCGCTTCAATCTTTGATGAATAGCTATTTTAAATTTCAAAATTCTCTTTGGAAACTTCAAATAAAGTAAGTAAATAGATAAACAAATAAAAATAAATAAAAAGTTCTCTCTTTTTATTTACTCGTCACCTCGTAAGAACCAACATTTTGTGCAGCGCATCTTAAATCTATCCGTGTTAGTTTCAGAATTTGCTGTAACAATACATCAACACAATGAATAAGGACAAAACTTACTTTATATCCTACGACAGAACTTTTGTGAAGTATAAGAATGTAAAACAACACTTCACTATTCCACACCCATCGGCAAGTTTGAAAAGCGGTAATTAATTTCTTTCCAAAAGGGCTTGAAACTCGTTACTCTGGGTCCTCTTCGGTAGCCGTTTGGCTACTGACGTAGGTTAAGACGTATACATCGCAGTGTCGTATGATCTGCTAAAATATTTAGAAAACGAATTAAAATTCTTTTCAAATTGGAAATTATCCGATTCACATGAAGATGTAGGCAAGTCTCCCCCAGCGACGAGATGATGCAACACAGTTTATGCGCTGTCGTGCTACACGCATAGCTGCCGTTCAAAATTTCGCGGTTATTCTTATTTTGATCTTTGCGTGACTGAGATGAATGCTCCAGATCCCAACTTGCACATTAGGCGTGTTTCTAGACATGCCTCACGGGAAGTCAGAGGCCGGGTCCAGGTCCCGCGTGGATACGGAAAGATGATATTCGTGGTTTACATCAAAATGACCTCCATTTGCCCATCGCCAAAACCTTCTAGAGTCCTGCTTCCAGCACCTCCCCTTGATATGGCAGAGAACAATCAAGGTTGAGGAAAATCATCCACGGCGAGGTTCCTGCTGAGGGAAAAGTGCCCAGAGCACGCTGAAGATGCTTCGGAACCTTCTACAGTTAGTTTCCTACGATGTAGACATCACCTGGCTATTTAGGCTTTACCCCTGAGACTACACATCTCTAGCATCCGTTGTTCCCCTCATCAAAAGAGTAAAAGATAAACTTTGATTATAACATCCAGCCCAGAAAAAATTGTGCAGACGATAAGAGCAAGCAATTTCGGACAAATTCATGTTGATGCCGAATTGTAGCCGAAGTGAGCTGGTTTGACATATGAATAAATTGTCAGATATGACAACATGAACTTTAAGCGGGCCTGTCACCTCTATAATATATAAACTACATATCCAGAAATATTCAACTGTATCCACACCTTCCTAATTTGCAAGGCGACGATCGACCTATGATTTTTCTTCTGGAAGCTCCAAGTGTCTCTGGTTTCTCCGCCACTCAGCAATGTGTGACCGCGCCTTGGACATAACTGACATGTTAGACAATGAATATCAAACCGAAAACTCCCTTGGCTGTACCATAGCGACGAATTTTGAAGGGTAAAGGCAACAATGTGTAATGAAGACACTTCCGCTAGCATCGTATGCCATATGCTTTAGTCCTCGTTTGCAGTAGCACTATCAGTCCAGACAGATCGTGACACATTGCCGCCTGTGAGAGTCAAATACGACTTGATCATCAGAAACATGTACTAGAAACAATCTCTCATGTAACGTATTTAACATCTGTAAGATTCAGTCATTGTCCCCCTCGTGAACAACGGAGAGAAAAAGGATCTTGACGCTCCACAACTTCATGAAAGAGAAAGAGGGAGAGATTTGGGATGCAGTGACTTACCTTCAACAATGAGTCTGAAACAGCCGGACCTGCTGTTAGTGCTGAGTCAAGGTTCTACGACACTGAGTGTGAACCGTGCAGTGGCGACTGAGGTCAGGTGAGCTTCAAGTAACCAGTCGTGATGTATAGCTTCTCCCAGAACTGACATGAATGTCATGACTTCAACAGCGCCAGCCCAGAGGGAACGAAGAAACTGTCATCCAGTCCGGAAAATAATAAAAATATATACAGTTGATCATCCATGATGGAACGGCAGTTTATGACATCAGCTGGAGTCGCTACGAGGTGGTGAAGAATCTCGCGATTTGCTCTTTCCGATCAATCTGTGGAAGAGGATCAATCCCTCTTCAAGGAAGTCGCCTGCTTTGCTGAGAATATTAGTAAGTATGCTGTAGGTGATGAAATCAGGAACGAAGCCTAGTCTCGTCATTTCCTCCGAGACTTTGTAAGCGTCGCGTATTCGGCCTGCCCTGTGAAGTCCAGCCAACATGGTGTTGTACGTTACCAAATCCAGAGTGCTCCCTCTTTTCACCTCTTTGAAAAGCTTCCAAGCTTCATCGGTTTTGCCTCCCTTGCAAAGAGCATCCAGAAGGATGTTGTAGGTGACGACATCTGGTTTGCAGCCCGATGCTTGCATTGCTTCATAAACTTCTTCTGCCTCATCAAGTCTTCCTGCTTTCCCCAGACCGCGGATAAGTGCAGTGGAGGTGACCACATTACCACTCACACCTTCTCTTGTCATTTTTCCGAATAATCGCTCTGCTTCGTCAAGGTCACCGGATTTGCAGAGGCCATCAATCAATGCGGAATAGGTAACGACATCAGGTTCGCAGCCATTGTCTTTCATCTCTCCAAAAAGCTTCGTGGCGTCTCCGACTTTGTCAGCCTTGCAAAGGACATCTATCAGGGTGGTGTAGGTCACAGCCGTTGCTTTGATCCCTGCCTCTTGCAGGTACAGGTATATTTGCCACGCTGCATCCAGGTTCCCTGCCTTCCCGAGTCCATTGATCAAGCTGTTGCAAGACTTCACGTCGAGCTTCCACCCCTTGTTTGCCATGTCCGAGAACAGCTTGTAAGCGTCATCGATATGTCCACCTCTGGCCAGGCTATTGAGCAGCATAGTTTTGAAAACCATGTCTCCTTCTTCTATCTCTTCGGCAAACTCCAAAGCCAAGTGGACTTGATCGTTGTTACAGAAGGCCTCTACGAGTAGCTTGTAAGTGACAAGATCAGGTTTACAAGCTTTGCCCTTCATGTGCTTGAACAATTGGTGAGCATCGTCTATTTGTCCAGACTTCACGAGTCCATGGATGAGTGTGTTATATGCAATCACATCAGGCACACAGTGCAATTGCACCATATTTCTGAAATATCTGCAAGCTTCATTTATCCGTCCAGCCTTGGTCAGACCTTTGAGCAACTCGGTGTGCGTGATCAGGTCAGGACTACAACCATCATCGACCATCTTCTGAAACACATTGAAGGCCTCCTCCACATCTTCTGCCTTGCAAAGCACCTCGATCAGGGCATTGTACGTGCACACGTCAGGCTTGAATCCCATATCTTGCAAATCTGCATAAACTTTGAAAGCGCCGTCTACATCTCCGAGCCTGCCAACGCTGGTGAGAAGAGCATTGAATGTCACCAAGTCAGGAACACAGCCGTTCTGAATCATCCTTGTGTAAATTTTAGAGGCCTTTTCTCCCTTGCCAATCTTCCGCAAATTGTACAGCATAGCTGTGTAAGTTATCACATCGGGAGTGCAGTCACCAGCCTCCATCGCTTCCAGAAGCTTCAGCGCCTCATGATCCCGCCCGATCTTGCACAGGCTGTCCATAAGTGCAGTGTACGTGACAACGTCAGGGGCATGTCCCTCGTTTTTCATCTCTCCAAAAAATTTGTACGCTTCATCTAGCATTCCCTTCTTGCAGAGAAGGTCTATGAGACTGGTATAGGTAACCACATCAGGACTACACCTCTTCTCCTTCAAACGCTCGAACAAACTCAGAGCATCATCCACTTTTCCAGATTTTCCATAAAGGTCAATCATGGTATTGTAAGAAACCACATCAGGCGTCGAACCATTTGAAGCCATTTCCTCGAACATTTTCGAAGCTTCGTCGACCTTCCCGGCTCTCCCTAATCCATCGAGTAACATGTTGTAGACAGTGACGCTGGGAACAAAATCACCTTTCATTTTGCTCAGAAGAACTAACGCCTCGTCCACTTTCCCAGTTTTGCAAAGCCCTCGGATGAGTATGCCTAGAGTGTAGGTGTCTGGTCTGCATCCTAGATCCAACATTCTCTGGTACACCATATAGGCCCCCTCGGTGTGCCCTCCTTTGACCAAAGAATTCATGAGCCCATTATATGCATGGGTGTTGGGCTTGCACCCAATGCTGCTCATTCCAGCCAGAGACGCCACAGCTGGTTCCCACAGTCCAGCGCTTCCGTAACTTTGAGCCAGCTTGGTGTGAAATCCAGGGGTCATTTGACAACCTGCTGCAACCATTTCATCCAACAAAGTCTGAATCTCAACGAACATCTTGGCTCGGCCCAAAATGTCAACCATTGCCTTGTACGAAACCGACTTGTGCTTGTAGCCGGGCTGCTGCCCGGCCCATTTGAAGAAACTCAGCGCCAGCTTCACATCCGTCTGACGCTCCAAAACTCGGACAACATGCGAAGGCCTGAGTTTCAATTGCAGCTTCTTCACCACTTTTGCTAGCTTCTCTTCGAATTCTTCACCCTTCAGATTGGCACACAACCTATCGACGTAAAATTCCATAGGCACAAGAGGTGTGGAGGCCAACTCCTTCGCCCCACCGCGATTACTGACGATGCCTGCCCTCGTAAAGGAAGCCTCGTCTCGGACGACATCACCTCCACTCACGATGCCGCATTTCGCCTTCGCCGGCTGCGCGGCCTCTACGGTACGAGCAGCAACGGCAACATCGCTGATCCGATCCAAGGCCGTGGTGATTCGCCTGGCAGCCGCGAATCCCACCTGCAGCCTCATCCTGAATTGGTACAAGGTTCGCAGCGGCCTGTCAAGATCTCGACGACTCCATCACCTCCCCCCGAAGGCTCGACCGCTGGCGGACACAGGCACAGTCACAAAGTACATCCTCACCTGCACAAAATTCCCAAATTCTACCATTCACTTCCCTCGGTCAGACGTGCCGCCCATATTTCAATCTCTCGCGAATCCTTGGGACTCCGTTGGAGCGTGATGAGCCTGCTCTTGAATCTCAACATCCGCATCGGCAGCACCGACGAAAACTCGAACTCAATCGATCAGCTGGAACCATCCGCATCCCCTGGTAGGTCACGACGAGCAGAGCTCAGAGCCTGGGCCGTCTATCGATCAGTCGGTGGACGATGTCGCGTGCGTGAGAGCGACAGAGACTGAGACAGAGAGAGATCCTCTCTGCGGGAACGCATCGTCGTCCTTTGGGGGAAAGTCCATTCGAAGATGAACGAACCGAGCCCCTGACAGCAGTCCTCCTCGGCTCCTAACCCAGCGCAGGGTTTACCATCGACCGTGTATCCGGCGCTCATTTCTGCGGTGACGCAAACCCAAACCCATACTTTCATGTGCACGTCAGTGCGACAGAAGCGTCTCTGTTTCCGGGTAACTCTGATGTTTCGGGACAGTGCCCAAATCAGGTGACGTAAATCTATAATCCGGAGGGAAGTCATTGAAAACTATATTCTTCTCTCATTCTTTGAGATTTTAGTTACTGACCCACCCCAAGTACTGTATCTGTGCACTTTACGGAGTTTTTCTTGCACTCAATTGCCGAGTTATATTTTCTCGTATTTTCCCATCATTACGGAAACCTCGATTAACCGGATGGGCTTATATCTGATGCCCCCTGTTAAAGTATTTCTCTGAGCGAGTGGTAGATTTATTGGAGACTTTTTGGGGGTTCTTTTAGACATGCTTAAGCTTCCGCTTCGTCTCCTTCTCCAAACGCCATAGTGGGCTTTGTGTGACTCCCTCTGTTCATGCCTTTTACAAACGAATAAAGTGGAAAATTTTCGTTATCCGAACTTTTTCTAAACAGTACACACTGAGCTTATGGGGCAGCTCGTTATCTAAAAAAACATAATTTAAACTCAAAGAACATCGAGATAGAACATCTCAATATGTATTTAACGATATGATACTTTGTCCAAACCACCTTCGCACAATTCTTGCGTACACCGGATAGTAAAGTGGAGTTTAAACGGAAGAGTAAAACCCTAACGCTTAGGGTGAGGTAAACCAGAGTTGGCGAGTCTGGTGAGGTGAGGTGAGGTGAGGTTTAGGACTCTGTGGGAGACAGCGGGAGCAGGTTGGCAATTTCGGTCCGAGGGATGACAAGGAATCGATCGGTCGATTGATTAGCCGGAGGAAGGAGACGATGATGGTCGAGCTGTGCGTTTGTTCGGGCAATCCAGAGGAATTTTTGGAGGAACCGTGAACTGAAGAATTGGGTTGCAGCTACAGAATCGACTCACTGGTCGCGGGACCGTTTTCACGATGAGGAATTTGCAGGTTTTCAGAGAAGAATGGGTGCAGCTTAAGCTCGATGACGATCGAAAAGACGAGCGTATGGTTGCAGCGACTTATGACTCCGAGCGTGTCCGAATGTTCTTTGCTTCTGACGCCTGCTGCGTTTATGGTATCAATTTGCTCTCGGAGCAGGTGTGATTCTCACTCATCTCTAGATTTACATTGCATTGGCATGTTACGTTACATATCTTCTGGACGATCTGTGGTCCAGTTTGTATGCAGTCACAGCTTTGGAATAATTATTAACCATCTCGTCGCGGAGTTTCCGGTAGCCTGTCGCTGATGGATGTACTAAAGCGACTTGCAACAGATAGTATTCAACTGGAGTCGAGAAAATCTTCCTTTGATCCAGTTTGATTGAGGTGCTCAGTGGGTTTTGAAGCGGACGACACTCATGCCCTTTGTTTTTGGAATCGCAGGATCGATGGACAATCTCGTTGTTGGACTCTCTCGGTACTGGGGCTCCTGGAACCGGCAAAGAAGAAGACCGGGTAATTTTTATGGAATTTTTGTTGGAGAAGGAGGCGCTGGCTTTGGCCCTGGCAACTGGCGACCTACTTCAGTTGACTCCTGCAACCCAGGAGGTGGAGGTGGTTGGGGCCGTGGCTGGAGGCATTGTGTCCATGGCTCTCAGTCCTGACGGGGAGCTGCTCGTGGTGGCTACGGGAGCTGGTCAACTTCTCCTTATGACTCAAGATTGGGACGTGTTCTATGAGATGTCTTTGAATCCATCTCCGGTGAGTAGTTTTTTCCTCATCTTGAGTATACTTTTTCCTACTTCCTTGGGCCTTGTTCGTTTAAGCCCAGATGAAGAAATACTTTTCTACGATGTACTTACACAGTGTATCAAGTCTATGCATAACACACACGATAAATGTTATGGCTGTAGTCGTTCAATCCGTGACTTGTATAAATTGTTATTTGTTCTCGTTGCTCAAATTCGCGTTCATGGGTTATATTTGCCTACTGGGGTATCCGTTTTTTTCTGCAAAATTGGTTATAATGCGGATATATAGAACTTGAGCTCGTGACGGGTGGGACCAAGTCCTTGTTTTATGAACTGGCGAGTCCTTGTTACTATTGCATAACTAGCTGAACAACGGAACCTTAGTGTAGCTTAGTTTTAGCCGTCAGAGTTGAATCTATCCTTCTGGAAAGCAAGTATTGTGGTATACCCCTGCTTAAGAAAATGAGAGTTTCTGTTGAGTAATTTTTTTTCAATGTAGATAGTGTCACTCATGAAGAAAATTACATGTAGGCAAGCATCACGTCAGGACTTATTCCTCCTGGGGGTGTGCAAATCAGTTGGCGAGGAGATGGCAAGTACTTTGCAACACTAGCCTCATGTGGGAACGCTGAAAGTGAAGGGAACAACGAAACAGCCCGCTCTCTGAAGGTATGGGAGAGGGAAACTGGTGCTTTGCATTCATGCGGGGAGCCCATGGCCTTGCTCCAGCCAGCAGTTAGCTGGAGCTACAATGGCTCACGGATAGCAACCGCGTTCTCTCGAGCAGATACAGGAAAATCTCCGGTAGCCCTTTTCTATGAGAGGAATGGCTTGAAGCGAGATACTTTTGAGATACTGGGTCCTCCATCTGCCAAAGTGAAGCTGCTCCAATGGAACTCCAATTCCGAATTACTTGCGGTCCTTCTCAGATGTGAAGAGTGGGATGCCATCCAAATTTGGAATTGCAACAACTTTCATTGGTATCTGAAACAGGAATGGAGGTTTCAGCCAGAAGAGGAGGTGAACTTGATTTGGGATCCAGAAAAGCCCCTGTGTGTCATGTTCTGGACAGCTTTTGGATATTTGCGCAGGATCACTCTCTGCTGGAAGAGTTCGGTGATCGAAGGCAACACTTCATTTGTGATCGATGGCAATTCTGTCCTCGTAACGCCACTTTGCCTTTCCATCATCCCTCCACCTATGTTCTCATTCAAGGTTAACTTCTCAGCTCCGATTCATACACTCGCAACACTGTTCGAGAATACGAGCAGGTGTCTGATTGCTGCAGGACTGTCTGACGGATCCCTGAGTGTGATTATCCTACCTGAAGTTTCCACTTGGGCTGACTTAGAGGGAGCGGAGCTCTCTGCCTTGTCGGCGAAATCTGACCCAGTCGTAGACTTCCGCAAGATTCGACATATTTCCTGGTTAGGCTCAAAGACTCTTGTGGGTTCAATATTTCACAGAGATTTGAAAATAGAAAAAGATAGTAAAGCGTGGAAGTCGATTTCACCGACCGAAGAAGAACTAAGTAGGATGGACGATAGTGTGGTGGAGTTCAAGCTCTATCTCAACGAGGGAATATCTGAACTGGCCAGAACCAAGAATGCAGCATTTTCCGAGCAATGGGTCCTCAAACTTGTCAATCAAACGACGGCAGAACAGCCCATTGTCGCAGTATTTGCGAATCCCTTGAACTCGTCTTTGGAAGAAAGCGAAATTCGGAAAGCCGAGGCATATGTGCAGCTGGCAGACGGCTCTGTAGCCTTGTACACATCTGGAGATGATGTTGGAAGGTATCGTTACACGGGATCCAACATCTCGTTGAACGTGGTGAAATTTCAGTCTCCTTCACCGTGGATGCGTGCCGTCACTCACGGCAGGCATGAACAACATGAGGCAGTTTTGATCGGCTTGGATGAGTCGGGGATGCTGCATGTAAACAATCAGCTCGTCAGCACCGACTGTACCAGCTTCACTGTGCATGAAAGTATTCAGGGAGAGTCGCAGCTCAAGGTTACTCATCTGGTGTTCACCACGAGGCTTGATACGCTGCACGTTATTAATCTCGAAGAGATTTTAAGCGGTGGTTTATCAGGCGAGGAATTGAATATAGCCTCTACAAAAGTTCCTGGAAACTTGGATGCGAAGCCTCGAAGAATCAGGAAAGTGAAGGGAGACAACACAGCAGAGAATAGTTTGAAAATCCGACCAATGTGGGAGAGAGGAGCTCGATTAGTCACCACTATAGGGGGCTTGGATGTGGCCGTTATCCTGCAAACCATTCGTGGAAACCTTGAAACTATCTATCCCCGTGGGCTGGTGCTTGGAGCTATAGCCTCTGCACTTACTGAGGACAACTTCCAAGATGCAATGCTTTTGGCTCGAAGAAACCATATCAATCTTAATGTGATCGTTGACTACAAAGGATGGGAGGAGTTCTCAGCGAAAGCTGATGTCTTCGTGAAGCAGGTCAGCAGTTTGAGCCACATTACGGAACTCATAGGAGCCCTGACCAAGGACAACGTGATCGAGTCCACATATAGGAACCTCATACCCCTGTATAAAGCTTCCGGTGGCAAAGGGGATAGTTTCTCTGAGACGCCTATCGCAGGAGACAGTACGTCGAAGGTGGAAGTTCATTCGTCCACACCGACGAACAAAGTCCGTGGTGTCCTTGGGGCCATCAGGTCTGCTTTGCAGAAAGAGGTTGCAGATAGTCCTGCCAGGGAGCTCTGTATACTGACAACTCATGCTAAGAGCGATCCACCTGAACTGGAAGCAGCTTTAGAACGCGTGAAAACGTTGAGAGAGGCAGAGATCAAGGGGATAAGCGAAGGAAATATTTCCCACCTGAATGACATTTTGAGTGCCGAGGCAGCAGTGAAACATCTTATCTGGCTGACAGATGCGGACAGTGTCTTCAACGTGGCACTGGGTCTATATGATCTGCATCTTGCAGCAATAGTCGCCTCGCATGCTCAGAGAGATCCAAAGGAGTTTCTACCACTTTTAGAGGAACTTGGACAAATGCAGAAGTTGCATATGCGCTACACCATTGACTGTAGATTGGGCCGATATGAGAGCGCATTAAGAAACTGCATTGATATGGGTGAAGACCTCTTTGAGGACTCTTTGAAGCTAGCGACAGCCCATCCTACATTGTTCCCAACTGCGTTGCGCCTGATCAAAGATGAAGGCCAGAAAATGCTTCTTCTGAACGCTTGGGGAGATCATCTGGTAGAGGAGAAGAAGTTCGAGGATGCTGCAGCCGCCTTCTGCGCATGCTCTCGGCTCGACAGGGCCTTGGACGCGTACAGACTAGGAGGTCAGTGGGAATGCGTGATGATCATGGCTGGTCGACTGGGTAAGACCTCAACGGAATTGAAAGAGCTTGCTGTCGAGCTACGGGACGAGCTTGAAGCCATGGGAAGGCCTAAGGAAGCGGCTAAGATAGCTCTGGATTACTGCGGGGATGTGGAGGGCGCCATGATGCTTCTGATCGATGCACACGAGTGGGCAGAAGTGGCTCGGCTGGCCTATTTGCACGATCGAAGACAGTTCATAGAAGTGCAACTTCAATCAGCTGTCCTTGATTGTGCCACCGCCCATCTGAGAGAGCTTGACGAAAGTGTGGAGAAAATCGGCAAGTACTTGGCCCGGTTTTTGTCTATACATCAACGGAGACTGCTTTTGTCTAGCAAACTCCGAACGGAGGGTGAAGGTCAGGGAGCGGTAGACTTCGATGCTTCTTCAGATATCAGCATGGCCAGCAGCATGGCGTCAGGCTTGAGTGGGTTGAGTGCTTACACGCGTGGGTACGTAAATCTGCCATCTTTCTTTCATCAGAACCGACGGTCCTTTCCTGTTTATCCTGGGATCATTTGTCTCCTAGGACTTTCACCATCTTACGAGTCCAAGCATCTGGCTCCCCTTAATCCTGAGTTGTTTTGTGTACAGAAGTTCGAGAGCGAACACCGGTAGCACAACCACTTCGAAAGGAGGAAGGCGTGCTTACAAGTCCAAGGGAGGAAAAATTAGAGCCGGCAGGTGTGTTATTTCTATCGGCTCACCTTTCATGTCTCATCTGTGTGGCTGACTGCTTCGATCCCCTTCGCAGGATTTTGCTCTTGCTTACACTCTGCTTATGTAGAGATGATTCCTTCTGTTTCTACGGATCTGTGGGAACGCTTAAGCAATGAAAGGGTAGCTACGTAGTACACGTAGTTTGACTGCTTTCATCCGTGAGAGTCCACGACCTTCAGGATCTGAGCAACCTTCAGGTGTTTCAACGTCCGTAGTGAGAAATAATGCGCGCACAGTTATGGTCAAGCCCACTCGGCAGAAGCCCTCTTGGCTGATTACTTTTTTATGTTGTCTCTCGCAGTCCGGGAGAAGAGATGGCGCTAGTAGAGCATATGAAGGGGACAGCATTGAGTGCAGTAAAAGCGGAGGAGCATCGTCTGCTTCTCCAGGCGTTGTTGCAGTTGGGCTTCGAAAGCATTGCACGACAATTGCAACGGGCTCTCACTCATTTCATATCTGTACAAGAAGATGCAGTTAGACAAGCTGAAGAAAAGCTGAAGGAGGAGCAGCTTCAAGAGCCCATCGTGCTGCAAGAGGTCGATTCGGTCGTGAGTAGTCCAAACGTCACTATTGGAACCAAGGATGTACAATGGAAGTGGGTAGTCTTAAGCGAGCAATAAAAATCAACTTCGTCACTCTCTATCTGTCCATCATGAGATTGAGTTTCAAGTTTTCGTCGATACAACCAGATGACAGACAAGACGAGGATCTTGTCTGTCAGCTGGTACGAATTGGGTTCTGAATCGTGGCGCTTCTGACCAGAACTCTGGGACTTCACGTTGATCTTGGGATTACCTGCCCTTCCAACGCCTTAACCTTGGGTACTATGCTAGCTCTGCAAATTTCATCGGTTTTATTAATCGAGGAAGAACTAAAGAATCAATATGGAGAAGACGGCTGTGTCTGCTCTCAAAATTTTTTGACGTTGAAGAACATTGACGGATGGGAACAAGTTGCGCACTTCTACTCGAGCTTTTCCTCAAGTAGAAAGGTATGATAAGACAAGAATCGAAGGTGGACAGGACGAAGTTTAGTCCGGGCCCTCATGCCCGGAGTGATGCAAGAGAAACGCAAGCGATGCAAGGTTTGACTGCTGCAACGTGAAATGCGGATCATGCCTTGTCTCTCGATAATTATGGATCTTGGGTATGTGACAAAGATTGACACGCTTTTTTCGGTAAGCATCGGGTTTACTCCATTGTAGGCCAATTTTCCGTTGTTCCGAACGAACACCTGGCAGACTAGGAGATATCTTCTAGGAGCGTGAAACCCGAGCCGCCCACGTTGACCTATGTTCTCTACATGGAAGAGGACAAAGTCGGTAATAGGCACCATGGTGTCCGTCGGGAATCCGGACGTAGTGAAACTCCTATTTCGCACGAGGTACTGCCGAAAAGCTCCATGAACATTTGAAAGCCCCAGCATATGCCATCTGGTAGCGCATGATGACATTGTCCGTGCCGCTCTACGTCCCAAACGCTCGCACGAACTGCCTCACCTCATAAATTTTCGTCGGATTGCATGCGACCACTCTCTAAAGATCTTTCAGAATCTGCGGTCTTTCTCAGAGGCCAAATTCGACCTGTGATAGCGCCTGAAATCAGCTCACGTGAATCTCGCGAATATAGTGTCCGGGAATACTTCCTCGAGGGGCCTCTGCAGAGATTGCGCTGGATGTACACATCGGGATCGAGCAAGGAATTTTCAGTGCTCATCTGAAAGTCAGTAGTGGATTGGTAATACTACGAATGGCAGGGCAGGGAGGTGAGCGAAAAAAGTGAGTCTTCGGATTTGCAGCTTGTGTTCCATTGGTGAGTGCGAAGGTGATAGCCTCGTACATTGAGGTGTTTCAGGGCTTGTCCACAATTGCAAAGCGTGGCCAATGCGTGAGGAACGACGATGGTAGAATTGCGGGGACTGTAGTAGCGGGCATCTCGATCGATGGAACAGGGGTAGCGGCATGGCTTAAACTTGTTGGCAAATGCATTGAGCGCCACGTTGTCCGTACGAGCGCAAGCGAGGACAATGTAGCACACACTCCAAGACGACGAAGATTATCGAGCCCGCTTCACCTCAAAGATCCGCAAATCTGACCTCTCCTCCGCTTGTCACCTGCATCATCTGAGTTCAAGCCACCGGAGCTCAATTTAATCCTGCATCAAAATAATCCGCTTGTAGAACGTAAAAGTTGTCGGCCGGAAATTGAATCTTGCAACCATCTTCATTGACCGAGTGCTCCTCATGTACTGGTTCATCATACCTGCAAGGAATCACGTTTCAGAATGATTCTGGAAACCACCGAACTGCCAATCCTTTGAGCCCCGTAATGCACACGACAATTAAAGCAACAAAGATCCCGAAAACAGATAGTCTGATTCGTACGTTCCAATAATCTGCCCTGTCGGCCAGCACCTCTAATTTCAACCTACGGGGTCTCAAATGTCAAGTCCACGTTCCCCACTACTTCTGATCGTCCAAATAGCTATACCTCTGAATCTCTCACCGTTCTGAATCGAGTTTCTGAATGCACTCTCTCGCGATCACGAAACGCAATTCTAGCACCCGCTGAGATGTATTGGCCATGGAAGGATATGTTCTCGAATCCTTACGGAGCTCACGAAGTTTGACGAACTCGGGCCTAATAATTGGCACCCGGAACATCGCATCGACATGGCAGAATCCAAAACAGTCTCCGGAAGTCATCGTGATTATAGTCGCCGGGCGATGGCCCTCCATTCCCCGCAACAGGTACTGTTCTGAAGTGGAGGTGGTTGCTGACCTGACCAGAGGAGTCCTCGGTCCGTGGGACCTGTCGATCACAGACGTGTTGGGTCGACCCAGGGCGGGCTCTTGTACTCGGAGTGCAAAATTTACCGGATTCCTCCATTACCCGAAGGCATGGATCTGCACGTGCAGAGCCGGGTACCGCTGAGCTGTCCCACATGGTCTTCTGATTCTCGATGATTTTCGATTTTCTGAAATTTCAGTGTGTTGCAAGACAAGTCCCAGTTTGATAGAATGGCAACCGATCGGGCAAAGGCTCATGATCACCAGGTCTAAGGGGCTGATATTATCGAGTTCTTGTAACTTGCGGATGCAATTCAGAATCTGAGTGATTATTTAGCCCGAATAAGATCAAGTCAAAAGGAGACTTTGTTACTCTAGCCATTAGCTATATTTAGATATGGAGATATGACGTTCTTGATAGAGTGCTTCAGAGATCAGCATATTGAAATCACTCTCTTTAAATTATTGTGTAACATGTGATAATTCGTGGAAACCAATCACTCCGTGTGAAGACTTATGGTGTGTGCTTGATTCAGTCGATTGATCTTTTAATTACCCAATAATTCAACTCCGACAAATTTTGTTTACTGATTAGCATTCAGCCATTAAAATAATCATAAATTCAATAAGAATAATAAGTATCTTCAAGATCTTTTGGGTGCTCTCTTTAAATGTTACGTCATTTGTTAGATATGGACGTTGTCATTTCAAACTCTAGTTGCAATCCGCTGACCTTCTTTGCACTCCTCATTGATTTGATGTATGTTTTGTCAGCAGCTTCTCAACTTGATGTTAATCGCATTGAAATGAATGTTACTTCACTAAAGACTACTACAGTGAATGCAGCATGTTGCTTTGCACATAGTACAATCAAAATGTCGGCATTTGTTTTAAGTTTCTGAGCATTGACTTTTCATATGGCATCAATGGTTGGAAAAAGTTTATGCAAATGAATATCCATAAGCAATGAGAACTAAATTGATGGTATCTCCTTATGTAGTAAAACACATCATTGACTTTTTTCTGTAACAAATGATGTTGGTAGCAGTGACAAAATAAGCATTTGAAAATCATCAAGTATAGCATGAAGGAAAATTAGAATCAAGAAAAATATTACTTGAAATTTCTACAACTGAGAGATTTTACTATATACAATTTCATGAAATTAAAATATATTTATGATAGATAAAATAGAATCACGTGTTGAAATTTCATCACTTGAATATTTAAAGATTTCCAAAAAAATGAAATTCTGGTTTTTTTATCTTTTTTAATCAAACTTTCTTCTTATAAGAGGATGAATAATACTTCAATCGCGATCACATGTGTAGATGTTGTACAATTTCAATCTACAAAGATTATATGGATTTTTCAAACTTGTTACAAATATTTATATAATGAAGTACAAGTTCATAAGTTCAACCTCCATGTAAATATTCACTTGCATTAAATCATTATTTTTATCAACAGTTCACCTAAGAATTAAGAATTAAGAATCAACATAATCGCGATGGTGTTTTAGTTTATTATCAATATCTTTCAATGTGTAAGTAATCATTGGAAGACATAATGTATCATGCGGATAACACATTCCTTTGGGTTAGTGAGACGAAGATATATGGATCAAAGAAGATACTTGTGCAACAATACATAATTAAAGCAACTAAACAGCCCACTATGGATGATAAAATAATATATATATGGAGCCGTTAACCAGCATTCACCTTTGGCTAACCACCACTCACCTTGTGAGACCCCAAAGAAGATGTGGAAGGTGCCGTCACAATGCTCGACGTTGCCAGCAACCTCCCGCATCTCTCTGATATTGAAGAAGATAGATAGACAATAGTTCAAATAATATTAAATACAAAAATGGTTTTCTGGCGGCGACAAATTATTTTTTCGTGATAATATTGAATGGTTCCAGCCAATCACATGCCTCGAAAACAAGCCTAGGGGTTCTATATAGACAGGGTGAGTGGTGGTTAGCCAAAGGTGAGTGCTGGTTAGCGGCTCCCTATATATAATAGATGATTGTCAAAAGAAAAAGTATTTTTGAGCAATAAAAATAAACGATTCAGTCTTATCCAATTTTGTTATGAGTTAACTGTTGATACGCCAAGGTAAGATAAAGAAATTTACTTCAAATTGGATATGGGAGATCATACATCATCTCAATAGTTACAACAAGTTTTTTATGTTGTGATGACATATGTATTAAAAATGAGTTTTTTATATAAGTCTCATACATGTGTTTTGAGGAAGAACTAATTAGCAATTGTCAAGAATGCCTAGTTCATCAAAATTTCTCTAGTTGTCGTTACTATCATTGACTATGAACATACCAATGAACAAGAAATTAGCAAAGATGTTTTTACGTGTTAAATCTTGCATAACACATCAAAAAAACATCTTCGGTCTTATGATGTCAATGGAGACGTGCATGAAGTCCCTTTCAACATGTAGTAAAAATGCAGGTGAATTACATATTATGATGAAAAGATAGATATATTGACAACTATTTTACGATGGGAGTTTATCTTACACCAGAACTTAATCAAGAAGATCAAATACATGCAATACATCTTTGAAAAGAATAATTTCTTGTGAGAGAAGTCTTGGAACCAAGTGATATTGAAGAATATGTAACCTCCGAAGTCCATCTTACGTAGAATCCAATGAACATAGCTATTAGAAAATCCTTGAGTGCATAGAAAGTCTCATTCTTTTCACAGTCTACGGAGGTTCAGAATATTTTGAAAGTTGCAAGAGCTTCAAATTCAAGGCTTTCCTTTTCAGCGCGGCGAGAATTACGTCATTTTTTTCACGCTCATTTGCATTTGAGATATAATTTCACTTTATAGAGCACGATAAACTAGTTCATTGTAGACTACAATATCGTATATTTATAAATTATTTTTCTCGGGAAGGGGTGCGGAACAAATCTGTAGGGACAGAAGACGTAAAAATGGGTGCAATATGTTCAAAGGTCAGAAAAGTGTCCTCACAGATATTTATCATAAGCAGATAAAAAGCATAACAAGGAGGACCGAGAATTTATACACAATTCGCAGAGAGAAGGGAGCAGAAACGCTCAAGGCCAGTGACGATCGAATCCATCAGATCTGCACGGACGACTACAGTACGTCGGGGTTCCCGTGAGGTTGGACCAAGTTGGGCACGGGACCACGTGTCCTGACCCCGACCGCGGTGGGCGATAGCCGATCTACGTGCTCGATACCGCTCTGTAGTACTCACGAGGCACGAACCAATGAGCGCATGTTCCCAGTCGACAATCCAGGGATTCTGATCCGTTTAAACAGCAGACGGAAACGCAGTCAGGCCGACGAACCAGGAGCACTTTCTCGTCGAACGTCGTAAGTTCGGCCACCATATTATCCTCTCCAGCGACTCCGGGAGTACGAAGTTTCTCCATCGCGAGAGGGAGCGAGGATGCGGCCACGTGTGCGGATCGGCAGATCGACGGCTGCAGGCCCGAGCTCGAGTGGATGATGTATGTACTCGAGTACTCAGCCGCGGGAGTGTTATTAAGGCAACTGCGGCTGGACAAATGGGCCACTGACTGCGAGCGTCGCCCCGTCACGATACGTGCGATCGTCTGTCTATCCATCATCGCGCTCGCTCGACTGGATTGGACGCCATAACAGCAGCCTGCCAGTCCAATCGACTGCGGTACGAGCAGGCGCTCCCGTTCTGGTCGCAAGCTTCTTCCTCGCCTCCTCTGGGACGACGACGACGACGAGGCTGCGAGGAGGAGAAAGGGCTCGGGTGCGGATTCTTGTGCGCCTTTTGAAGGAGAGGCAGGGAGGGAGGATTGTACCCTTCTCGCTTTTCGTAGCCTGCGGTGAGGCGATTGTAGGAGGACGAGGAGGAGGACAAGCGAGAGCATTAGGATTGTGAGCGGAGCGCCCGAATGGGCGTGTGAGAATTGTTAACAGACGAGGAAGGGAGCGGGGATCTTGGCGGGACGGGGATTGATAGGAGGACGAGGAGTTGCGCGGAGATTCCGGCTTGAGGAAGGAAGAAGCGCGGGGTTAAGGAATGGCGACTAGTGTTGTGAATTCCATGGCAGCACTGCGGTGTCCGGACATGGGCGTGGTGAATTGCAATGTCCAGGCCTCGGTTGCTGCTGCGAGTTCTGCCCCTTCGAGATCCGTGGCTGCTGAGAAGCGCGTTTTCGGTAGTAAATTTGTTGGACTTCGGAGTGTCAAGGATGGGAAGCAGGCTAGTGTTGCCCATGCGTCTGTACCTCAGCAGGTGAGTCGTCGTTTCTGGCGGGTTTCCAGAGGAATCACGTACTTGAGATCGCAATGACAGAGGGTTTGTGGTTGGAAGTTGGTTGTGAACTTGAGGCTCCCGAGACGAAGACGTCTTTTTGATGACTTGAGTGTATTCGTTTTCTGCAGGGTCGTAAAGGGACCATTGTGGCTTCCACTCTGGCTGACAAAGGGGAATATTTTTCCGAGAAGCCCCCAACCCCACTTTTGGATACTGTCAACTACCCCATCCACATGAAGAATTTGTCTGTAAAGGTAAAATAACTGTGCCCGTTCGTTTCCGACTTCATTGCACTTCCGGTTAGAGTTTCGGCGACGAGTGAATTGTTACTCTGACGATAGTTAGATTAATTGAAAGTACAATGTGTTTCATTGACGTAATCCTTCTCAATGACAATACTGTGACGTTCTTCCAGGAGCTGAAACAACTTGCAGACGAGCTTCGTTCTGAGACTATATTCACAGTATCCAAAACAGGTGGTCACCTTGGTTCGAGCCTCGGTGTCGTTGAGTTGACTGTCGCTCTTCATCATGTATTCAATGCCCCAGAAGACAAGATTTTGTGGGACGTCGGACACCAGGTACACTCCTGTCTTTCGACGATGTTAATTTCACTATCACGCTTTCTCGTCCTTCATTTTCCTACATCTCTTCTTCTATTTCAGAGCCGAGAAGGTCGAGGATTGCAATGCATTACCCTCAAAATGTATTGTCCGCTTTTTGTGTATCATTTCATTGCATCTGCAACGTTCACAGTGCCTGATTTTATCGATGTTGGATTCTAACTCTAGTGATCAACTTTTTTTCTCGTTGGCTTGGACGTGCAGACTTACCCTCACAAGATTCTCACAGGAAGGAGGGGTAAGATGGGCAGTCTTCGACAGACAGATGGGTTGTCGGGATTTACCAGGAGAGCGGAGAGTGAATATGATGCCTTTGGAGCTGGCCACAGTTCTACCAGTATCTCTGCTGGTCTAGGTATGGTGGAAAACTCAGCCGCAAAGTGCATCTCGCTTCTTGTGATGATGGCTTTTGCACATCCCAATCGCGGTGTCGGATTGCTCGTGAAATCTCTGAAGCTGCCGTTGACCACGCTCTCCCCTGTTGCTGTGATGGTTTATCTGTAGTTTCACTATTCATGTTTGACATCTACTGCATTCTTGGTCCTGGTTACTGATTTTTGGTGTGGAAATTGAAACCCAGGTATGGCGGTTGGACGAGACTTGAAAGGAAACAAGAATCAAGTGATCTCTGTGATTGGAGACGGAGCTATGACAGCGGGGCAGGCTTATGAGGCTATGAATAATGCGGGCTACCTGGACTCGAACATGATTGTCATCCTTAACGACAACAAACAAGTTTCATTGCCCACTGCCACTCTAGACGGACCTGCGCCTCCTGTCGGTGCTCTCAGCAGCGCTCTGAGTCGTCTTCAATCCAGCAGACCTCTCCGAGAACTTCGAGAGGTGGCTAAGGTACATGAGACGTCCACTAACACACCGATCCTGTAATTTTGTGTCGGATCGCTTTGGCCGCCCTCTGAAGACCATGAAAATTTGTCAGTTAGTTTGACTGAACTGAAGTTAGTCTGAGAGTATGATGAACGACGAGCACTGGCAGTCTAAGTCACAGCGCAATTGTACCAGTTCTAATTTCTCATGTACTCACGTGATTGTCACCTTGTCCTGGAGATCATAGAATCTCGTAGAATGATACTAACGCAAGTCGTGTATTGATCACTGAAGGGTGTTACGAAGCAAATTGGAGGTCCTATGCATTCTCTGGCCTCGAAAGTTGATGAATATGCCCGAGGTATGATCAGTGGATCGGGATCGACCTTGTTTGAGGAACTTGGACTTTACTACATCGGTCCTGTTGATGGACACAACCTTGATGACCTTATCACAATTCTTCGTGAAGTGAAGGCTACTCACACCACCGGACCCGTGCTCATCCACATCGTCACTGAAAAGGGACGGGGTTATCCGTATGCTGAGAGAGCTGCCGATAAATACCATGGTAATGTTTCGAGTTTTGTTCACCTTCTACAGTCTCTATCTTTGGAAACATAGAATATACTTCATCAGATGCGTGGATGCATTTGACTGTCGCGCTTTACCTTTTTCTGGCATATAACTGAAATTTTCTACATGTTTCGTCCACTGCAGGTGTTGTAAAGTTTGACCCTGCCACCGGCAAACAGTTTAAGGGCAAGGCTCCTACTCAAGCTTACACAACCTACTATGCTGAAGCGTTAATTGCTGAAGCTGAGGCAGACAAGGATGTCATTGCTATTCATGCTGCCATGGGTGGAGGTACAGGTTTGAACATGTTTGGAAAGCGCTTCCCAGAGCGCTGCTTCGATGTTGGTATTGCAGAGCAACATGCTGTCACGTTTGCAGCTGGGCTAGCTTGTGAAGGACTAAAACCCTTCTGCACTATATACTCTTCTTTCCTTCAACGTGCCTATGACCAGGTACTTTTTCTCTTCGATCAACTTCTTTCAACGGGTCTGGGTAGGCCTGGTTGCTGTAACTGTAGGACAGGCAATTTTATGTACCCGATGCGGTCCCTGAGTTTCCTCTGCTGGTATCTATGGTCGACATGAAAACATGAAATCCGGTGGGATCGTCATTCATCACATGGCACCTTGTGTGGTTGTTTCAGGTCGTTCACGACGTCGATTTACAAAAGCTTCCGGTCCGGTTCGCTATGGACCGTGCTGGTTTGGTCGGCGCTGATGGACCTACTCACTGTGGAGCATTTGATGTCACGTATATGGCATGTCTTCCCAATATGGTCGTTATGGCGCCTTGCGATGAAGCGGAGCTCTTTCACATGGTTGCTACTGCTGCTGCCATTGATGATCGTCCCAGCTGTTTCCGCTACCCACGAGGAAATGGACTTGGAGTTCCACTGCCTTTGAACAACAAGGGAATTCCGATGGAGGTAAGCTGGGCAAGGATGTCGTATTGCCATATGAGTATTTGTTTTAGGCAAATAAGATAATTGTTTCTCCTTAGACACTCAAGTTGTACCGTCCTCTGTACTCTCTTCAACACTTTTGCCATTCATAACTTCCTTTATCTAAGATATAGCTTGTCCAGTTGGACTGTGCGAAGAGTCTTTTGCGGGCGTACGTTTCTCAACTAATATCTCCAGGTTTCATTTCTCGCTGAAGATTCCAATCTGTAGTTTTGTGTTTGATCGAATGTGTTTCCAATGTCATTCAGGTTGGGAGAGGAAGAATACTTGCTGAAGGTACGCAAGTAGCTCTTCTGGGTTATGGAACTATGGTGCAGAATTGCCTTGCGGCTGGGAGGCTCTTGACTGAACTGGGTGTATCCACCACAGTTGCGGATGCCAGATTCTGCAAGCCCCTTGACCGAGATCTTATTAGACGACTAGCAAGAGAACACTCAGTTCTCGTAACGGTTGAAGAAGGTTCGATTGGAGGGTTCGGATCGCACGTTGTGCAATTTATGGCCCTGGACGGTCTGCTCGATGGAAATCTGAAGGTACGAAACTTTGTTGTGTTGTTTTTTTAAAAAAAAATTGGAAGGACTTGACACATCTTACATTATCGTAGTCTAGCATGGCTGGCGATGAATAGGTTTGGTAAACAGACATATGCGGATGAAGTTCACTGTTTGAATGTCGGTTTGCTGAACCGCGCTCTGATGAACGACGCACGACCGTGTTTCAGTGGAGACCTCTTGTGCTTCCCGACCGCTACATCGAACACGGATCACCTGCCGATCAATATGCAGAGGCTGGTTTGACTGCAGCCCATATCGCTGCCACAGCGCTCAATGTGCTTGGCAAAACAAGGGAGGCGCTTCAGTTGATGTCGTAAGCTCCGATCCGAACGATGGATCTATTTTTGCTTCTCCTTGATGACAGCTGCAGTATTGTTTCTGTGCGCAACCAACGGAGGGTGGCAGAGAAGTACTCGGGTGTACTCGATATCTGGCCGCCATTGGCTTGAATTGTAGATTATGATAATCAGAGGTTCGCTCCCTGTAGAAACTCGTGGGATTAATCTCACACCCCTAGGAGTAGCTGAAGATGTGGAAGTGCTGTGTATAGGTATGCCATTGATGAACCATCTGTATCTTAGCGTCTCAGCTGACAGCCAAAGGCACCGTGGTGATCAGGCTCTGGCTGGGACTCACACCATTGCTGGACTGCCGTTATGACTGTCATTGTTGTTTGTCTCAAATGGCACAAAGTGAAAAATCTCGTTGATTTCTTTCTCTAAGAACTCTAGCCGCGAAGTTCCAACTAGGAAACGCAAGTTTTGAAAGGCAGGTTGTTGTCTTGTCCTCTTGCAACACCCAACATCAGGCTCATAAACACACCACGCTGATGTGTACAGCATCATTACTTTGGACAGAGAACCACAGAGAACATTTGAATTGAAGCAAACGTGTGATGTGTCCTCAAAGGATATCTAACTTCAACAAATAATCTAGGAACAGACTTTGACCTTATGGACTGCTGTTCAAGAAATCTAAACCCTGTCACACCTCGTGAAGTAGCCACCATCGTATATACTCTGAATTGTACGTTATACAGCGGATAAATAAGGTGGCTAACCAAGTGGTTGTATCTCAGAAAGGAAATAATGTGGACGCTGAAAATTATGTACAGTAAGGAAAGGTGTGAAAAAAAATGTGAATTAAAAGTGCATTTACATACTCGTACGTTCCCGAACTTGCCTACGAGCAGGAATAGCACAACAGAAAAGTCCACCATGGCAGTAACAATAATTAACAGTTATGAACATGTATTCTGTTCGAGTAAACGTGTAAATGAGGAACATGTCAATAACATGGAACGTAATGGTCATATGCACAAGGCATGATAATAGTTAGTTCTGGCTTAGTACGGTGTGCCAAAGGGAAGGAAGAATCGAATTGTTAAAGAAGACATGAATATACCCGACATCGTCCACATCTGTAAGAAACCACAATCACCACTAAGCCACTGCTAGAGAGAAACTGTGAGCAACACGGAGTAAGTTGTCGGAAATCACAGCAGTGCCAGTAAGGGATATGTACGTACATATATATGGCTTGGATACGATGGACAGCGTATACCTAGCAGAAAGTGGAAGAGAGATGAGCAAATCGCGTATATCGCTAAACACAACTCTACTATTACAAAGGAAGATAGAAAGAGCTAAAGTCCTGACGTTAATAGGATTAGAGCTCCCTAAGGAGTTCCAGTTCTTCAAACAAAGAGCAATCCCCATTCACAAGAACAAAAAAATATGTGAATTTTGCGAATGTGTTTTAATTTGCATAATTTTTTCATTCTTACAATAATTGTTCTAGTTCATCTTGTCACCATAATTGCTAATATTTCAATAGTAAAATCTCTCTACTCGGCAGTCAAGAATATATTACCAGAAATTATTCACTGTCGTAGATTCTAAACTTATACACGTTAATAATTATGTGAATTTTTGTTTGTGATCACTGAAAGGTGTGTGAATTTCTATGTGTGATCACGCCAATGTTAAAATCTTGAGATAAATGGTAGAATACAAGGATAGTGGTGAACTGACGCGGAAGTAAAAATGCTCTCACCTCTATTAAAAAATATTTCAGGAATTTGTTCAGTTGGGATGTGTAACATATCTCGTATGTTGATAAACTATCACATTCTCTTTCCATCCTTTGTCACCTGGTTTTTACAAAAGCTGATCATGTACGATTAGATTACAGTCAAGAATCTCTTTAAGTAAATGCAACGGATTACCTATATGTAGATAAACTACACCCCAGTGCTCCTTCGTTTCAAATTTAAAAGGAGAAAACTTTTCCTCTATACAGTTTAGGGTTTTAAGTCATTCATAGTACATCGTTTGAATCAGATTTAGTTAAACATAATTATAATCAGATGTTTTTGGGCCTTGGATCAATTGTTAACGAATTGATTAATAATCTCATAGTTTCAGATGTGAAAAAACTACGAAATGAAAACATATAGACTACATAAGAATCAAAACGTAGGTAAACAGTTTCCTAAACTCTAACATTGCAATTAAATAAAATATCATTGTTGAAGGAATCATTCAAAAAATATATATTTTTTTACATATTTTTTTACGAACGAAATAAGAAAAATAAAAAATCAAATTTAAAATTTTTGAAATATTTTTCTAATATAGAAATTATGACCCAATCATATTTAGATGTTTGAAAATTTCTATTAGCTCGATTCTATCAGTTTATTTTATTCATAATTAGATAAATTTTTTTTATCACAATGTGAAAAAAACTATAAGAAAGCTAATTTCTACCTATTATCGTTTGCTTTAATATTCGAAAACTTGTTGTGATATACTCTGAGAAGATTCAACGAGAGTAAGTATATATACATATATATATACTAACTACGTAGGGTGAGTAGCTCACATCAGTTTCTTCAATTGAGGAAATTATCCATTTCCTCCCGCGAACGTATTAAATTGTCGGACACTCATTCGAAAATGCTGTACCAAGAAGCTTTAGAATAACGTGGAGAAGTAGCCGAAGGGAGGCCGACAAGACACAGATGCCAACTCCATCCGAAGTTGTTTGTTTGTCTGTTTGTTCTTTTTCAGTGGAAGAATTGAAGGCGAGCGCATAAAGTTACTGTAACTCGATAAATCGTACTGTGAAAACAGCCGCGGTTTGCATCCAACTTTGAGTAGACTGCCAGAAGGAGCCTACCACAATGCTCTGCTGTAATCAGTAGGAAGAAGAGTGCATGCGATGCGGTCCGAAGTGGCACTGCTTAGAGCAAGGAAGTATCCTCATGACTCGCACGGTTAAATAACGGAGGAGTATTATAAAATAAAAATAAGTGAACTAGATCTGAAGCAGACGACCCGCTGACTGACAAAAGACGACCAATTACAAGAGGCTACACGGTTGGCCCAAGGACTGTACTGCAGTAGACCAACTGAACGACTAGGCGCACGCAGTAGCGACGAGAAGAGCGAAGTACAGCCCAGGACTGTCCTGGACCGCAGAGATGAAATCCTCAAACAGCATGAGACCCGCAGACTCGTCCACATTAGCCTCGAGGACCGAGAACGCAAAGTCCAGAGCGAGCAAGCGACGCTGGAAGCTGTGGAAGCTGGAGATTTTATGACAGCCGCGATGCGTAATGGTGTGCCAGTGTTGATGGACATGCGACCAGCTTCAGGTGAGCTCGGGCGCTCGAACGTCAGCGTCGTTCTTCGTCTGTACAGGCTGTCCCGTTGGGGTGATGGAAAACATTGCCGATGCTTTTTCGTTATATCCGTATGGAATGTGGTGAGAAAGTGGAACAAGTGTGATGGTTTGAGCGTAGTACGAAAGCCCCCCCCCCCCAACATTAACATGACGATGCGCCAGTGGGCCAAGCTTACACGTGTGAGAGTCGGCCATGTCCTAACTGGCTCCAATAAAGTGCTCCAGCAAACTGCTCAACGACACAGCTCTCCACCTTTCGGTGGTTGCATCTCGTCGTTGGCCTTTTCCCACCCCGACCTTTTGTAGGATCAACCGGCGAATCGAGCATAATGCCGAAAGTTCCCTCCCTCTGGGTCAAGCCTGCCGGCATTTCCCGAGCCCTGGCTGGAAAGTGACAACGGGGCCGGTAAAAACGATTGGCATACTGCGCCATAAGTTCCTTCGGTTCCGTTGGACCAAAATCCGACAACCGCTCGAGCAAAATACTCTCCTCCGAAGCCTTGAAAGCGTGTGCAAGCGGCGCAGCGGTCAAGTTTGCTAAATTCCTTCCTCGATTGTTTTTTTTCCCCCGAGAGAACGCCATGGAAGTCGCTCATGGTCCCCATTTGCCTGCGCAGTCAGTACAGACCAACCGGAGAGCGCGAAAAGACATTCGAGCAGGTGGAGAGAGTGCTCAAACGATACGTATGTTTACGCACAAACTAATTTACCTTAACTCGGCACTCATCCGAGATCCCCAGGAATGAGGAAATCCGGCTTAATTCCGATATCCCAGCGAATAATTAAAATCGGCAGAATTCGAGCCGAGCTCTGGACGAGAATGCTCTCTGCGTCTCGACGAGTTTGACCGGAACATCAGCGGGTCGCCGGTCAGTATCCGGTGCTGGGAAAGTCGGAAGGGCGCTGGAAGTGCCGAGTTCCAGGAATGCGGCATCTGCCGGATTCGGCCGGTCGGTCGGCCGGGCCTCTCTCCGAAGGAACAAGGATTCGGGACCATTTTTGGGTCGCGGGGCTCGGAGAGGCGGCGGAGGGGAATTAATGGGAAGAGCAGCGAAAGCGAAGGGCGGCCATGGGATCGGTGTGGGGAAGCGGCTGGCGTTCACACACGGGACGCCTGGACCAGCACGCTCTCCGTCCTCGGGCAGCCGGACATCGGGACAGCTGTCGACAAGCGCTGCCACGTTCCGCGCTGCTCTCGTCACGTGGTCGGAGTTACGGGTGGCCCGCTCCCACTCCGCAGCCCCTCCCGCCCCTTCCCGGCCCACCCGCCTCCTGCCCGGGGATTTCAAAGTTACCGTTCTCGCGCTCTCTCCCTCCCTCCCGGGCACGGGGCCAGCCCGAATTCTCTTCGCTGCCTCTCAGCTTGACCGCCTGCTCCTCTGCCCGGCCTGCCCCGGCCGCCCGCCCGTGACACGGTCGTCCGAGTCGGGCTGACCGGACCCCGCGCTCGCTCCTGCCTGCCTGCCTGCCTGCCTTTGCCTCGGCGCCCGACCCCCCTCTCGCTCTCTCTCCCTCCCTCTCTCGATGCTTATGTCGTTGTCTGTGGCCAGCGGAAGCTCCTCTTCGCTCCGCCCTGCGTCCGCTCTTCGTGCGCGCGCTCTGTCGGCGGAAGGACTCGAGTTTCTTGAAGGCGCAGGAGGCTAGGCTTGCAGTCTGATCGTTCGACGAGGAGGAGCAGCGGCTGTGCTGTGGGTTTGGCGTGCAGCTTCTGGAGTGGAATCGATCGGCCTCTGGAGCTCGTCCGCCGGATCATTTTTTTTGCTTCTGAGTGTTTAGTTCGTGGATGAGCCGAGGTTTTGTTCGCGACGACTTCCCCCTGTGGCAGTGCTGCGTGAGTAGCCGGGAGTAGGTGGCTTTGGTTTCTAGGTTGCAGAGGTGTTCTATACGAGGCTAGGTGTTGTGCGTGGGTGCTGGTGGCGGTATTGGTCCATCGAGGTGCGCTTGAGCTCGTTGTCGATTCGTGCTCTGGATGCGAGTTGGAGGCGAGTTGGAGGCCCTGAATGACGTCTATCGGCAGGTTTAATTTCTTGTCTCCCTTGGAGCTCAAGCAGGAAGCCATTCTGTAGTGCCAGCTGCTTTTGGGGGCGGGAAACTCTCTGTTTTCGACCATCTTCTGGAAAGAGGAGTGCAGCTCCTGCAGGGTTTTTTTTTTCGCTTTCTTGCGTCGTCCGGTTTTTTTTCATCGAGTCCAGCTGGAAAGCGCAGTCAAGAGGAGAATTGGGTCTGCTTTTGCGTTGTTACACATTGGGGCCTCTCGAGAACGAACCTTGGCATCAGGGCGCCTCATAGCTGCGTAAGCTGTGATAGCCTGGTGACAATGGGTAAGCCTGCTCAGTACGAGGGTGCGACCATAGACGGTTATCAACAGCAACAATGTGGTCCAAGATCTGCTCTTGAGATATGGAGATCCCCAACAGGGGGATCCACTCCTCTTGTGGAGGAAGCAACTTGCCATAGCAACGACTTTTCTTTCGTTGTAGCGCCCATACCTGTGGAGGATGTCCAGGAAGAATGGTCCAATGTCAGCGGCCTGGAACCTGCACAGATTCATTCACTTCAGGCATTGGCTGCGAAAGGAATATATTGGGAACATCCCGACCATGTCGTTCACGCCGTCTTTAGCTTGCATCATGGTGGGGATGTGGAGGCAGATGGCAACTGTTTGTTCACCGCGTCGCAGAAAGCCATGAGACTTGAGGAATCGCCATTGGAAGTACGCCTGCGCACGGTGAGGAGATTTTTGGAAGATTACGAAAATGACCTCTACAACCAAGAGCAGTTGAATGCCACGATCAGGCACCTGTACGCTCCCAATCTGAGCGTTGGTTGGGGTGTCCATTGGTATCAAGAGCTGAAGTTTTTAGCCAAGAAAGAAGATAGGGAGTCTTTGGACTGCTCTATTGCCGAACTGGTGGGCGTCGGAATGCCCAGGTATAGGTCTTCCTCCTCCCTTCTTGTCATAACAATACTCTCCAGCGGGTCTAGGTTTACGTGTTGATGCACTCTGTTTTCAGTAGACTTGCTTGGGTCATGGAATGGCATCAAATGTCCTGATGTCACGAGTTTTTTCCTACTGTAAAGCGGTGGACCTCCTTGCCCTAGGTTACTCTGAGGGTTAGCTTTTATGTTGGAGAGCGCTTCGAGCACTTCTTCGTGTTGCAGTTCTTGTCTGAACTAGTGGCCTATGTGAGCCCCCTTTTTCATGTTCCGACTGTGCCTCAGACAAACTATGGGTTATTGTGATCTGAAACTTGTAGTGCCCATCCTTACCCTAAATTTCCCCTGGTTTCAAGTATCCGTAATCTTTTGCTTTCCCAATGGACATTGATGGAAGTTTTCCACTCGTAACTGTGTCTTTTGACTTCTCTGAAGTTTGTATTTCCTTGTTTTGCTGAATTCCTCTGCAGCTCAAACCGACCTGCTTAAAAATTAATTTGTAGCCACGTAGTGGCCGACGTTCTTCATAGAGCTGATCAAAACTTTGCTTGCACTTTTGTTTGGTTTCAGGGATCAAGCCGCAGAGTCGATATATAAAGAACGTTGCATTCCCGTGGATGATGCTGAAAGCTGGGCGAAGTATATGTCCATTGCAGGTACTGGCAATGAAGAATACGATATTATTACTCTATCATACCTCAAGGATGGCTTAATGAGCGTTGATGACAACAGAGAAGGTCGGGCAGCTGCCTTCGGAGATGATATCGCGATTGAATGTCTTGCAAACGAGTTTGAGCGGGAGATTTTTGTGGTACGTAACTTTGGTGACTTTTGCGATGTGAATAAAAACTTATTTTACATGATCTGATGAAGCGAATTCTTGCGCTTGTGCACATAATTTAAAATAGTTGCTCTTGGAATGAATGTTTCAGGTTCAAGCTCATGGTTCTGACGCAATGGTGGACGAAAGTGACAACAACAACATCTTTTACCTCCCTCATCGCCCTCGTAGCGTCAGTTCTATACGATATCCGCCGATGTTTCTGTTCATGAAGGGAACTGGTAAGAGTCTAGAGATATTCTGATGAATGTGATTTTGAATTTAGACAAGTACGAACAGTATTTTGATGTTTAGATTTAAAAGATGTGTCTAGATTTGGCATGTGGGTAACATATGTCTTAATCATCTCCTCATGTTTCCATGGCAAATGTAGGTTGGTGTGGAGCCGGTGGGGATCATTACGAGCCCATAGTAGCGCGACTTGCACCCTGCCAAGTGAAGGAGAAAGCAGCTGCAACGCTGTGAGAACATAGCCACATGTACTGCTCGTTGTAGGGTGGTTGTACAGTTACATCCTGATCGTACTATATATCCATTCTTTCGGGCACATACTCTTTAGCCCCAACTTGAGGCAAGGAGGAAGAGTACCTCATCATGTTTTGCTAGTCTCTAGTTAGTTGTGTAGTATTATACTACCGGCATTCGATGAGCATCGCAATGTTCTCCTCAGCCCCTCCACTCCGTTATTCACGCATCAGTCTGCTAACGCCACCAAACTTACGAGGAGCAACTGCCAATGTGGAGTTCCCGTTGACAAGTTTATAGGTTTTGATTCTTCTTTTATCAGGTTAGTTGGACGATGTTACAAGGATTATCGAACCCTCCACATTTTTCCTTTGCCTCCTCTTTTATACTCAGCTTCCCTCCATAGTTACTTGGGCCGCTCTGGATGGAGATGCTCCGAAGGATATTCATAGTGCATGAGTCCGCACCCCTCTACTTAGTATATCTCTTAGCATCTCAGTAGCTTGTTAGTGGAGTTGTGCAATGAGTCAAAGTACGTAAGGGGTATTGTATTCACCCCTTGGTTTACCCCTTGAGAAGGTAGCCGACATTTGCCAGTCATTTAAGGTAGGGACGGTAGATTTACATCTTTGTGAGCGTTTCACTTTGTAATTTTTAGAATACAAAGGAGGCATAGATGATTTCATAAACCGGGGTTGTAGGTTGATTTTTCCATCATCTGCAGGAACACTGGGTACTCATAATTAGTACCCCATATTGTTCTGCGGCCAATAACCTTCCTTCCGACAATTTTGTTCCGAATAAAGATGCAAAAGGTGCAGTGAGGGCGGGTTGCACGCCCTCTATTGTGACTTGTTCCGAGTGTTCCTTTGCGAATATGTTTTTATGACGTCTTTTAATTGAGCTCTGCTACTTTGATTGGTAGGCCCTGCTAAGAAATCGAATAGTGGTCCCGTTGTCGTGGTCCTACGAACGGGTTCTAGAGAAATTCTTTGCTCTTTGTCCAGTCTATTTAGTCCGTGCTTGAAGTACTTTTAATTGCAAGACAAGAGAAGCAATGACCTCTAGACATTTGCGTTGACAACGGAAATTCGAAATGTGATCATCAAGTATATCCTGTAGTCCTAGTGTTGCTTTAAACGATCTAATCCTAGTCAAGCTAGAGATTCATAGTCCATACAAATCAAAAGTTCGGCAGGTTCGATTTCCTTTTCACCTCTCTAAATCGTCTTTGTCGCTAATGAACCCTCGCTGTTGGCAGAAAACACACAGACAAATCTCCAACAGCGGAGACTGTCTTCCTGGTTTTACTTGGTTACAGATTTGTAGGCTCGGTCTAAACTCACTACCACTTTCTCCGAAACACAAAGGGATACATCTAAGCTACTCAGTTCTAGTGGCCATCCATCCTCAGTTTAGCGTTTTTCGGGTTTATTGAGTTTCATAAATCTGGACTGTATATTCATCGCAATGACTTGAATCTGTTTTATGAAGTGTCAGAGTTGTACAGATCATCCCAGACATGAGAGACAAGTTCAAGACATCACATAACTCACCCCTGAGCCGACGGAAAATCCGAAGTCCAGTCCATGTAACATGTTTGTCATACACACTGCCTGTTTCATCCACTCAATATTTATACGTAAGATAACTTGTTCTATCACATATTAGTCACCGTGTGTCGCAGGCAAATCTGTCTTCAATTTTGTACATGGAAGAGAACTTGTTGACAGTGACTGTTAACTTCAACACTGATACAATTCCCGACAATAGATAAAAATCTATGAAAACAGTGATGAAGTTGATGGATAATCAACAATGATAAGGATCATTCTACTACCTTCAACATAATTTCTTACGGTCATCTTTCCATCCTAAAACGGATAGGTTCGTCGTGTAAGTGTTCATAAAACATCTAGATCTCACGAATGAGATACGATAACAAATGTTGACGAAAAGGTGGAAATGTAGGATCATAAGTTTTCTCTACGAGCGACACTAGAAATTGGACCCCTGTCAAATGAATGCCTTGCGATTTCATGATAATTTCACTTCACATTCCTCACAAATCATAAGTCGTTTGTTGAATATTTAAACATCTTTCATTCAATCCTCACAAAAATTCTTCTTTACATAAATTTGTTAATAATACAAGCTACTAAGTTTCAAGAATCTATGTTTGAATCAAAATTTAATTCAATTTTATTTTACTATCATGATATAAATTGAACACGCACAGCATTACTTCAAGAATATCTCATACAACTATCAAGTTACTTGTCATGTAGTTTCATGTGTACACAGAACTTTTACAACAATAAGGTATATCATAAAGTTAAATGGAACTTACGATATTTAAAAAAGTACGTTAAACTTAAGTTATCTCAATTTTAGATACATATTTAGTGCAGATAAATTCTATAGAAGAAATTTGTTTGATTTTTTTACTAATGAAAGTTTCAAAACTTGAAATTAATTCAGATTCAAAGCTTGAATATGATATTTTAATCAGATTCATTAATTTATCTACAGAAATTAAGTATCATTTGCTATATTTACTAATATTTGATTTATGTCTGATGTATATTTGATTTAATATAAAATGAATGCACAATATATATAGATATGTTTAAATACATTTTTTATTACATAATAAAGCAGTGAAAATTCTCAAAAAATTGCAAATGTTATATGGGGTAATTTAAATTATGATGAGACTTTTTTAAATTTCAAGAAAAAAAAGATACATGTTATCATTTCTTGCTGTTTGAGTAAAATTATAACATAAAATTGTTTATAGCACAATGTGTTGAAATGTAAAGAACATATTGTAACACAAGCTTCTATTAAATAAAGAAGCTTCTATTTTCTTGTAGGAATCTTTGCAGTAGTTTATGTAAGTAGTTATTACTTATTGTTATTGATTTGTGTACTTAGTAGTATCATGTTTGATTGTGTTTTCTACATATATGCACCTATTGGTGTAACAAAAACAAGCTAGGAGATGATACTTGACTTGAGTGCAAAAAAATTTATTTATGACAGGTGACGCATCTATGGTTGTTTTCACATTAGATGTGGTAGTTTTGACATTCTCCTATATTTTATAAATTTGCAATTTTGAATTACGTTGAAAAGAAGCATGTAAACATAACAACTATTGCACCTAATTAAGTTTCATAACAACATTCATATGATCTAATTTGAGAAAACAAAACTTGTTCCAATTATTTAACTTCCTTCATATTTAATTAAACTAGATATATATGATATTTTTATTATAAATATGAACCAAATTATAAACAAAGATTCATGAAACAACAATATTCAAAAATAGAACGTTAAAACAATCATATCTAATGTTAAAACAACCACATACGCGTCACTTTTCGTGAACAAATTTTTTCGCACTCAAGTCAAGTATCGTCTTCTAGCGTATTTTGTTACATTTTGTTGCATATATGCAAAAAACACAATCAAACATGATAGTAAATAAGTACACAATTCAAAACAATGACCAATAATTACAATTTTCAACTATTGCAAAGTATACTCGGAGAAAACAATACGTTGAGCACATGTTCGTGCATTGTGTCTAGTATGATAGCAAAGTCAACACTTCCGCACTTGTGAAGCTCTTATTGAAGCCTAAGATTAAGCAATAGGACAGGTCATGTGACCGTAAGACGCGTCTCTGGTCCTAGTGTGGTCGTTTTAACAACTTTCGTGTTCGTTTTAACATTGCTCTTTGTTTGAAAGCGAAGATTATTATATCAATTTGCGAAGTTATCTTGCTTAATATAAGATGTGTGTAATCTTACTTTGATGATAAATAAATTGAACAATTTTGAATCTTTAACAAAAGTTTGATTTGACATTCAATTTTATGGCACCTCTTGTGTATCTTTGACTTGTATTACTAGCATGACGTTGATTTGTTTGTTCATGCTTGTGTTTGAGTCGACCACATTTATCTTCTTGGCACGGATTTCAAATGTCAATATACTTCCTTTTCTCTTTCTACTTTCAATTGTGATATGAATTATGATGTGTGATTATAAACTATGCTTTAAAAAATTGTTCGTTAGTGCTTGTCTTGATCAATAAAAAAAATTTGGTGTATACTAGTTTGCAAAGTCAAAGCCAAGTGGGAGTGAGGGAGCAGGTACTTCCAAACCAAGGAGGTATCGCTTACATGCCAACTCCAACACTAACGCATTTTCAAAAATTAAAAATTTCATGATTGAAAATGTGTCATGGGTTTCATATCCGATGTTTCATTGTCTTATTGATTTTCTTACGCTTCAATCTATAACTATGATCGTTTAGGATTTGTTGACAATTGTGACACAATTCATGAGAGATTTATAAATATGATTTATGTTGTCAATACATGTTTGGAATTGCTGATGGTCGTCATTGTTTTCACTTTGAGCCAAAACGATCTTTTGCTATCACAAGTACGAGGACAAAACTATGATGAAGCATCTAATATGCGTGAAAATATCAACGACTAAAAACAATCATCCAAAGAAAAATCACTTTGGCATATTATGTGCATTGCTTTGCACATCGACTCCAACTTGCTCTGATGATAACAGCCAAGAACCACATGAAAATTTGCTAGTTCTTTGTTGAGCTGTCGTCATTAGCTAACATGGTGGATGCTTCTTGTAAACGGGCAAATCAATTTTGAAAATTGCACTTAGCAAGCATAAGTGAGGCAATTGTTGGAGGAAAAGCCATAATGATTTGAGTATTAAATCAAGATCAATCATTACGGCGGTCAGAAGAGACATGAATTAATTTCTATTTCTATTTTTGGTATGCATGATTCTATGACTCGAATTTCAAAGTACTTGAAATTATTGTGGAAGATGCAATTATAACAAATCAAAGAGCGGAAGCGTCAAGACTGTTGGAAGAAAAATGTGCAGCTTTGATTTTGTTCTAATATTACACATCATGAAGGCAGTTTTAAGCAAGTCAGCTCTTCAATATGAAGCTTTGTAACGTAAGGATCAAAACATACTCAACGATATGGACCTTGTTATTACAAAATATAAATTGATTGAAATGCAATCGGAAAAAATATGTAATACGTTGCTTAGAACAATTGAATCATTTTGTTTAGTGAAGAATATCAATACTCAAGTAAAATCAAATTACATGCATGTGGAATGTACTTGTTGTAATTTTAACACCATAACCTTTGATCACTATTATCGTGTGAAGATCATACTCAACATAATAGAGTCAATGCTAAGTGAGCTTCATGACTGTTTTACTAAATATTTGTCTATACTGCTGAAACGTATCGACTATCTATGCCTAAATCAACTTCTCGCTCATAAAAATGCTTGAGAGCTAGTTGAATTGGGACGTATGTATTCACAAGATTTTCAACAATATGACATAGTGATAATAGAACCGTAGATTTTTCAATTGTGCATAGAGATAAGATCAAACAAAACTTTGTCTAAGGTTTGATATTTCTCCGTTTTAACGCTCAAGCTGTTTGAACTTGTGAAATCTGTTACACAATTTCTTCATCTTGTATTTTGACTAATCAGTCTAGCATTAACTTTACATGTTAGCATTGGATGAACAGAACGCACGATCTCAGCATTGAAAATTGTAAAAACGCGGTTGATGAACATAATGGGTACCGTGTATCTTGTTGACGCTCTTAGTCTGTTTGTTGAAAAAAAATTAGCACGAAGAATAACCATCGACTTTATCATTGAAAACTTTCATGTGCTGAGCACTTGACGTCTTGAGTTGGATTAATACACAAAATTGAATTTTATTATATTTTTAGATTTATTTTTCTAAGATCTCTCTCATGTATTTCAGTAATTTTGATTTTAACATAGTCCGATAACACAATTAGTGTAATCATCTTTAATAAGTAAGAACTAAAGTTACTCAAGATGAAGTTATAATTACTTTAGCATGCATAAATCATAGCTGTCACTTCAGCAATCCACGTGCTTAATAAGTAGAGAATAACCGTGTTAGTTGACCGCATCTTGTCATCCATCCACTAAGAGTGGAATATATGGTGGACATAAAATCTTATGTCTTTGTACTTGTTGTTAAAAGCTTTATAAGAGAGAGTAGAACTCTTTGATAGAGTTGGTATCTCTCATTTTTAGAGTTTATGTTTTCATCTTGTAGTGAGCTTTTCTATTTAAATCCTAGTGTTACAATTAACCATTTAAATGTCAAATTTTTTTTTAATGCAACGTTACAAAAGTAACTGGCAAGGAGTGTTTCATCAAACATATATTGGCTCCGCCACAGCAATTATGCATTATGTGAATTCATATAAATAATCTTTTAGTTACTCACAATACATATATTATTTTCAACATGAACATCAATCCATTAACAATTTTATCAATTGTGTGTAATCTTATTTTAACAATACATTATTATATTTACTTTTTACTTCTATAATTTTTTGGAAATTTAATAAATTTCTATTTTTAATGTTAAATTGCGTGCATGTAAGATTGTTATATGAAGGTTAAATCACTTATTTGAAATATAAAATATGAAATAAAATTTCTAGTTATATTCTATGATATTATTTTTTATTCAAACACATAAGATATTACATTCGTCATAATCTTTAAATTTTTTGTAATTCACATTGGGATCATGAAGTTTTAGCTGCGATTTTTTTAAAATTTTTAAAATTATGATATTATATTTTATATAAAAACATGAAAATATATTTCCTTTTATATTCAAATTCAAAAAATTCTAGGAAATATTCTATCTATATGTAAATTTAAATGTAATTAAGTCTTATATCTAATAATTTATTTGTTAAATAAAATTTTCAATTTTTTTTACTTTTGAATTTTGAATTGAAGTATTTAGAATGGTTTTAATATGCATCAAATACTCTATAAAAAATTAAATAATTTAATTTAATTTAATTTTACAAAATATATTTAATTAAAGAATTAGATAAAATAATGTCCAAAAAATTTATATTGTTAAATTTTTATGTTTATAAAATCAAAACATTATTATCCCGGTATCATATTTGAATGATATTTCAGTATTATTGTTACAAATCAATTTATGTCTTGTTAACTCAAGTTAATGTTAGTTAGTGTTATTCTAGTTTGTTGGACAAGGGTTAGCGAGTTTCTTTAAAATTGTGTGGGGTGGAACTTTTACTAACACAAGTTTAAGGTTGTTGTTATTGTGTATCTAGTTTTAGCAAAGTTGAACTATGTTATATTTGTGTGTTGACCTTTGGTGTGAATGCATATCTCTATGTTAACCAAAAAAATTTTGTATCAAAGCACTATCCTTCATGTGTGTTTTAGATTCTTCTGAAAATATGACAGTAATGTTTGCTTTGTTCTGAACAGTAGTAATCAGGCGGAGGCAAAGATTGTTGTGCACGCAGATATCGATGAATATGATTTGAAACAAATGTCAAGAATTCTTTTGTTACTTGGATGGAGTTGCTGAATTCAACTAATATCTTAATTGATTTGAAGCAAATCAAATCCTTCAAAACAACGTTAACATTCACAAACGCTGGTGGTGAAGAGCTTGTTGGTGGTGTCAATGATGTGGATGAGGTATCTTTGCATTAAAAATTGTTGTTATACATGCAAGAACGTGTTGTGTACAGTTTGAAAAAATTGATTGGATATGATGAGGATTTAGAAATCAAAAAAGAGACGGAAATTATGAGAGTGCAGAAGAGACGAATAACTCCGTAAAGCAGTTGTTTCAATTTGATTTGCTCACACTGCAACCAAAATGTTCTCTAGAATATTTGTTTTAAAAACATTGCATCGATGACTTCAAGAGTCTAGAAGTCAGTTTTGAGTTCAAGGTCAGATGTCAAGACTCGGACATCGAACCATGAAGTTGCATTGATTCTCGGTTAAAACATTTTATATGTTTTCATGCTGTATTATATAATGTTGTATATTGTTATTTGAAAGCATATGTTATATTCAAAATTTTTTAGCATCATTGATTTCAAGGTTTCTATAACACACAAGAGTGATACATTTCATCACCAAGTTTATATTCGAAAATTTATAATATTCTTTCATGTGCATTTTCAACAAAAAGCTATAAATGCTTTTGATCAAAGAATGTACTCAAGTGATGAACTGAACGAGACTATTAATTATCATCAACTGCGTAGAATCAACGCAAAAATGATTATTCCTATTATCAAATTAATGTATGGTGTATTTGAGCTATTAAATTGGAAGAAACAAACTGCGCATCAAATGAAATACTTTCATATAGATTCGTAACAGGCAGCACTTCTGAAGATACAAAAGTAGCGAAGTGTGTTGTTCTAGATTTTTATGAATTTCTTTTGTTTGTCAACGCTTTCAGATCATAGACCCTCCACCTAACTATCGTGTGCTGGCTCCAAAAGAAAGAGAAACCAGTTTACTTGTTCACCGAGTTGCTTCTACCTTTTGCACAGAAATTGTGGCATGACGCATGTGACGAAGAGGGACGGCGAGACATTGAATCAGGTCGAGATTTTGCGGGACATTGAAAATCCTCGTCTGTCTCAGACATGACACGACGTGAGATTGCATGGAAAAGATGATCTGCACACCGTCTTTCACTTTACGGGCCAAACCACGTTTGACATTGTGGAGGAATGTGAGTAAAGTTCAGATCTCACTGACAAGTCTGATTTGAACTAAGAACCCAGGCCCATAGGCAGTGAGGAAGAAAATCTTCAGGAATTCACTGGGAAGCACTTGAGTCATCTACTTATCGAAGCGAGCACGAAGTATTTTTGGTCTCGTAGATATTCGAAGCGATCGAGCATACCTTCAAGAATATTCTGGTCCATTAGACAGTGAATTCGTCTCTTATTGGAGAGGGGCTACCTGGATCGCATGAAAGGCTGACGAGGAAATGAAGTGCACCACATCTCGGTCTCAATTATCGGTATACATTTTCCAGAATGAGATATGAGCACCATTCCTTGACATGGTCTGAAGTTCTTGTTTCACATCAGACAGATCCACGAAGTGCAGCGACGAAAAAGTGCCCACAGCTTCGGAGCCAACCTTTCAAGTGGTCGAGGGTGGTTATCCTCAGAACAACAAAAGAGATGGAAACGTTGGAAAGGTTGTTAAGAAGCTGCGAGGAGGCTGACTTCCTCAGAGCCTGACAACTTCTCCTCAAGGTGCACGTTGAATACAGGAATAGACAGGCTCCAGGTTGCAACTGGTACAGTACGTATTCTGTACGTCTTGAAGAGAATGTAAAGATAAACGAGATCCTCACAAACACCCTACCCCACAATAATCAAAAAATGTCAAAGCATTTTATCAGACTTTGATAATGGTTGGATGTCAAAGCATTTTATCAGACCTTAATAATGGTTGGATATCTTCCTGGGCCAGCACCAGGCCCAGGAAGATAGCAGTAGATAACCCTCTAGCAGCAGTTTCAAGTCACACACTGACGATCTGAGCACGCACAGCTGAGGACAGTATTCTCGTTCCACATCAATCAGGTTCGTTACTACGAATATGAAACGGGAGACGAGAAGTAGTTCGATTCTGTGCTTGATTTCAGAATCCAGGCCAAGTGGATGCAAGTAGTAGTACCATGGAGTACAAGCATGCAGACGAACGGAAACCAGGGCTAACCCGATGGAAGTGGAAGGTAGTGGGATGGCCGAAAACAGGAGAATCCGGAGTTCAGAGCAATATTAGAAACCCATGAGGTTATTTCAAGCGTACGAGAGTGTACTGCGACTGTCCTTCATCAGTACTGCGTCTGTTCAGACGAGCTAGTTTGAGCTTTAACAGCAACCAGATATGGCGACCGGGTGGAGATGGTTGGAAAATGGTCTTTGATTAGAGGGAAAAGGTGTGCTGCAGATATCCAGGAAAAGGCCAAACCTGTTCTGATTTGGAGTTTACCCCTGACAAGAAAGCCACTGTACTGCCCGGGGACTGGCTATGCACTCTGCACAGTCACACATTCCTCGTGCCAGGACAAAAGGGAAAACAAAAGTCCTCGGACTTATTTCTCGTTGCTGCCCCACTTTTGCGCCTCAGAGAGGCAGGCGCACACTCGTATAAATCTGTGGAAAATGTGTGCCTGCTGGCCTAGAGTTCTCCCTAGCCGTGCAGCAGAAGTCAGACCGTTTACGACGGGGGCTTTGAATACTCGATGGATGGGGTGCTGCAGGTTGACTTCTGACACACCGTCCCCCCTGCTTCCACTTTAGTTTGAACGCTACGTGTCTCGGAGGCAGCTGCACTTGGTGGGAGAGCTGAGGGTTTTTACGCCAAGGCTGCTCACTCATAGCTTTTTCGAAGCCTGTTGGATTGGGAAGCATGTCGGGAACATCGAGTTTGCTCGTTCTGGGAGCTCTCCTGGCTCTCAGCTGCTGTAACCCGCAACTTCATGTCGCCGCTGATGGGATCGAAGGCGTCGATAACGTGATCACACAATGGAATGCTGTCGCCCAGCGGGTTCGTGAACATTCGCGTCCAATCTCTCGTCCCTGCGTCAAAGTTCCGTTGCTGTTTTTCAGGAATATGTCGATTGTTCCTCTTGTCCCTCCCTCTCTATCTCTTTCTATTTCTCTGTCAGGGTTTTAATGTTGTGATTAAATGACGAATTTTAGCTGCAACCACTTTGCCACCCTTTGTGGGCAGCTTAAATTCTCTGCCGTATGTTTGATAAAAATCTGGGTGATTTTTTGGGATGTGTAATCCTCTGATGATCCTCTGCCGTATGGAGTGGAACACTGTGTCAGAGTCAGCCAAGTGGATTATCTGCAGGGTTTATGGAACTAATTCGGACATTGGGTTATGAAGATGGTTCGACTTCTCGCACTTCCCAATCAAATTGCCGGTCGGCTTTTCTTGGAACTTCACGTTCCGCAGTATCGTGCTATTCAATTGGCGCTGAAGAAGAAATCGAAGAGTCCAGAGTCAGCCGCCCACTATGCTGCCCACTTCGCCCTCTCAGAGTAAGTGTTTGACGAGCTTCTCAAGATGATTCTTTATGGGCGTGCGTGATTCCTCTTTCAGAATCCCTCACCACAAAACTTTCGCCGGCTAGAATTCTCAATCCATCCAGCGATGTGACTAAACCCCCGGAAGAATGTGGGTGCAGACTCTTTCCGGCTCAGCAATCACCCATCTTCGACATCTTCATTGCATCCAAAATCTCTGAGCTGGGACTCTCTGCCGCGGACGATAGAGAGGCTGAAAGGATTGGAGTGTCAGTGGCTGCAAGGTTTTTGAAATCAAGGTGAATCCCAACATCTGAGACCCGCTTTCATAATTTTGGGATTGACGCGTTCCGAGGCTGCAGAATGACTATCACAGCTCTGCCAGCCCCGTGGCCGATCAGCTACCGGGTTCAGTTGAATGTGTCATGGATTATAAAAACACTTGGCTGCATGAAATTGAAGAAGAAAATTCGCTGTCACCAGCGACTGCTCTAGCAAGTACTTGCCGTCCACTGCAATTGGATTGCGCCAGAGAGTGTGCGGGGGCAGTGATGAGTGGATTCATGTTCCAGAACTAATATGCTCATCTCCCTCTCCTCAAGTGCAGAACTAATGACGGTAGCCAGAAATGGGCGAAATTCCAACCTGCCCCTCTCGACGGGCCTGTGGGAAAGTACCAATTCACTCCCAATCAGACGTTTGCCCTCTACCCTCAGCTGGCAACAACACGACCCGAGGTGATCAAGGCCGCTGAGGATTTCGACACCCTCGGAGGGCCTCCCAGCATTCCCAGCGCCAAATACAACTCCGATTATCAGACACTGGCCACAGTCGGCAATGCCAATTCTCCACTCCAGACCAAGCTGCTCAAAGACACGGCAAGATTTTGGGAAGATGGCGGCAGTATGTTGCCTATCCACCTGTGTGCCCCCTTGGTTTCTTCTGCTCACACCAATCTGATTTCAATTGTGCACAGCCACGATTGGACGTCTGGATTTCAGTCACAGGATGTGCCGTAGACTCTGACGATGGCAGAGTGTTTACGTCTAACGAAGAGAGGCTCGCTCGTTGCTTCGTGATGCAGACACCTCGGGAATCGTGGGGCACCTCTTCAATATGAGTCTAGCCGTGACGGGCACCAAAATCTCGACGATCGAGACGGCGAAGCTCTTCACGAAGCTGTCAGTCGCGTACTTCGATGGAGCCATTGCGGGATGGTACCAAAAGTACAAGTACCTCTTCTGGCGACCCATCACTGCCCTCAGGTGCTTATTTTCCTCGACACCTTTCTCCCTCGTGTCGCTAGCTCGACCCTCACCGCACTCACATACATCTCCCTCAAATTTCTAGGGAGCAAATCGCCCCTTCGACACTTTGTCGTCCCTCAGTTGATTTTTCGATCCAGGATCGAATTCTCGCTGCTGCCCTCCATCGAAATCATCCATCCATCGATCATGACAGAAGAGATTGTTGGCCCTGATTTTTGCAGACAAGGTGAGACCACGCATGCACCTCTGCCGACTTACGACACGTACCTTCGAACGCCCCCGCATCCCGAGTATCCGAGCACGCACTCTGTGAACGCCGGAGCATGGGCGGCGATCGTGTCGAGAAGTTTGGGAGTACCGATGACGCAGAAGATTGCTCCGTTCACGGTAGCCACGGAGGGCTACCTTCTTCCCACCAGGACCTACACCAGCATTCAGGACCCCAGCGTCGAAATCTACCTCAGCAGGTACGAATCGAATCGAATCGCTCGCCCCTCTGTCCCGCCCGCTGTCTAGTCTCACGCACTCCAACCATAACCATCGACCAATTCCTCCGAGGAGCAAATGGTCAGGTAAGCAAGGCCCCACAGATTGCGCTCACCTTTCTGCCCCGCGAGTGGGGAGAGCGACACGACGGGATTGTAGACTTGTCACCTGGCGACCGGAATTTGCGAACATCTGGTGGTATATTAGACGACCGATGAGTGTCCAGAATATGGGCGGTCCTGAATTCGCAGATGACGATTGTCACTTCGACGAATCGGCCGGACCCTGGCCTCCGATCATGGCTTGCATGAGTGCAGACGCCAGTGCTCTGGCAGACAGGACACGTTTCAGCAGTTGCTCAGATTTGAGCTGGTCTGGCCGTTTAGCGGGTCACTATCTCCAGCTCGACTTGCTGCTGCGCATGTCAGCCGTGAGCTCCATTGTGTACTTACTCGTGGATCGCCACACGTGCTTTTATTTAATCTCTGCTGTCTTCCGTTTCATGTATTGTATTCACATCGATTCGCTTGTGGCAGGTACCCATAATGTAATCGTATGCTGAAAACTCGTTTGCCATGACCATTTCATGGATTTAGGCTTCCAATAGGAGAATTCTTCTTTTCATCTCATGACGAATGGAATGATACTGATCGATTATAAAAGTGAAATTGGGATTCTGTTCTGAACTTCATCTCACCTCTTGTTCGTAGACAAAACTTCTGACACTCGGATTGCTGTTTTCTGGATCGTGATGCAGAGTTTATGGAGGTGTTCACTTCCCCAAGGCTGGCAAAGACGGCTTGCAACTAGGGATCAATGTAAGTGCTCTTGATTCTGCCCCGCTTGGCTTCCCTCAGTAGGCTTCCAATTTGACAGTGCCGTGCCAGAAGATCACCTTGTTTATGAGCATCATTCACACTCGATAGAGTAGTTAAGTCATTTGGTGGCTGCTAAATCATTCATTGTTTATGTGTCGCTCATTGTTCTGTTGTTTCGAAATGGCTTCCACCTGTGTTATAAAAAGTACAGGTAGATTAAAAGATCAAAGGCAAAAGTAGTTATGGGTGCGAAGGGAGTAATTTATTTCTTGACATTATTGTTGATGTACCTCCAGGTCGGCGAGTATGTCTACGATCATTTCGAAGAAGTTTATGGCCGTCTATAGGATTTTGTAGATAGTTGATAAAAAGTTTATACTTTGAATAAAACGGACATCTTTTCGATATATCTCGTGTTTGATTCGGAAATTTGTACAATTCTAGAAGTTGTTTCATACCAATTTCAAATCGCGCCGACAATTATCATCCTGAATTAAGTTGTGTATGGAGTTTGCACAGTATTTAAAATCGTAGTAGTTTAGCTAATACTCATAATTTGATTCGTCAGAAATTAGATATAAATCAAAATAGTATCGAAGGATCGGAATATATTCATGTATTTCCAGAAATTGTCATTATATTTATGAAAAAAAGGTTTTTAAGTTATAAAATTAACTATAGTAATATAAATTGAGAAAATTCTTCTCTATCGTCAATACATAAGTTATTTTTTATATTATAACAAATATATTTAAGTTGACGTAAAGTATTTTTCAATCAGCATGTTATTTATTGTTATGGAAACCGCAACCATTTTTGTTATTGACTATTTTGTAATAAGATGAAAATTGACAAAGATGTTTACTATACAGGTAGATGTACATAGAACAGTATTCTATTTATCTGAACAATTTTGATGTGCGAAAGATTGTACAGTGTTCGATATGTATGTATATATATATATATATATATATGGCCAACAAAAGTTAATTGAAAACCTTGTAATAAAAACTTCTCTTTGTGTTTATACATCCGACTGCTTGGACATTTTCATCTCCGAGATAGTAAACTTGAATAAGAAATCGTAACTGTGAACTCATTTGCATATATCATCACAAAAATATGTAGTCAATGCCACCTGCGCCCAAGTTCAGAAGGCACAATATCCGTAATCAAGTGTACAAAACCATCCCACATGTATTTTGTCCCACATCCAGTACGTGCAATACACAGAAGCAAATACACAGCATTCTTTCTCCCGCACACGTACACGTGAATATCATGACAATAAGTAGAAAACTATTCTGATACAAACACGCTCGTTTCGAATTATCTTTATGTAGCGAGAAAAAAATTACAATTTAAGGCCGACTGTGGCTATACAACTAACTGTACACAGAACAGATCCAAATTTCGGCAATAGACGAATCACTCGAGACTGTAAGAACCAAAAATTAGAAGAGATGACTCGTCTCTCCAAGCAGCGAGGTCCATAGGCAGAGTGCCACTCCCCCATCAGTGAGCCTCGTCTTGCATCTGTCGATACAAACCATTTTATGAAACACTGACTCCTCTACTCCTGAACCAGAACGCTCTCTTCACCCACGGTCAGATGGGAGACGTTCCATGTCGGGATCGTACTCATCCTCTTCACCGGGTCGAGGTTCGTTTTCTGCCATGTCTTCCGACCACTCGCCAGCTTCGGCGTCTTCGAGCTCTTCCTCACCTGAAAGCCACAAGTCCATGCACAGGAGCTCAGTTAGTACAGCTCGATAATTGCGCACTTTATTTTGAGTTCCAGACAACGAATGACGATGGTGATGGGGGCAAAAGGCAAGTATTCATACGAGCAAGCTCATCGTCGTCCAGAGGCTCAGCATCTTCCCCGGGAGCTTGGGCCGGGTCGTCTGCAGTAAGCTCAGCATCCTCCATGGAAGGAGCTACCACAGGAATCTCTTCATCTTTCTCGGTGGTTGGGTACTCGTACTCGGGCCCTACTCCGCCTTGATTCATGTCATTGTAGTCGGCCTGAAATCCAGCAAGGACTCCGATGGAAGGACAATCGATCAGCAGGGTGGTCAGATTCGCAGGATTCACAAACTACAGTAATCAATTCACATTTTTCCCGGTCAAAAAAAAATAATGTGAAGAACGCAGTATCACTTCGCAGCATGGCTTACTACGTCGCGCACACACATGCAACCGGGCAGCTTCACCCTGGGGAGGAAAAGCTGCTCGTCTCAAAAGCTAATCAGAAGGGATTAAGAGAGGAGGAGGGCATTTACCTGCTGGTAGCTTTGCCATGGCTGCTGAAGGTGAAGGTGATCAACAAGTGTAAGTGTAAAGCAGATTGAGTAAAGGTGAGAGAAGAAGACGACTGGAGAATAGAATACAGATTACAAGGCGTCGGCCCCGCCTTATGTAACGAAGAACCGTGGCGAAGCGGGTCGACACCTTAGCATGCAGCGTCTGGACATGCGTAAGCATGTCCGAGTAACTACTTCCACTTCGTTTCACACTTCGACGCGTGTTCAGCTCACTCGTACATTTAACTTGTATTTTCGCTCGATTGGCGGTATTTTCTTTATTTACTCCTGCTGTATTTTTCCTTTCGCGAGAACATGTCGGCCATCTCATTATCCTGTTGCGTTTTCTGTTCCTCAGCTGGAGAAGTGGAGAGGAGTTGAACAAATCCATCAATCACTTGCAGCTGAGAAGCTTAGAAGTTCATGCCGGCCATCATCATCTCCCCCTTCCCTTTGGTCGACCCTCAAATCCCATCCTTGCATCCTTGGGAGCTCACCTCTAGAATTTCTAGACTATAGATGCATTGATCAATTGCATGATCCATTCCGTTTGAGCTGTTCCTTGGGCATCCGTCCTACGGAGAAGTAGGCCAGATAATGTTGATGATGACGTCGGGGAAAATCCAGTACGACGGAGGCCACTTATAGCCTTCTTCGTCTTGGCGAAGCAAACGAGAAGACGACATTTCATTCTCCTGATCGCTTTCCATGTTTACTAGGTGGAATAAAATTATGACATATGTTCCTGCATTCTTCTCGCCAACTACCAATCTCATTCGACCACCCGTCTGCTCAATATCCCTTCGTAAAAAATCTAGTACCTTCTTGTCAAATACAGTATTACCAAACCTGGATTGGTAATGTTCACATACCTTCTCACATGTAGATAACACTCTGCATTGAATGGTAAGGGCTTAACCCATCCAATTTCACAACCAAAGAAGTAGCATACTTCCACCAAATTGTGCAATCAATGCTGTTCTCACTAGAACTGCTGTTCATGCTTAAAGAACTCTTACGATACATGAGTTTTGGGGTTAGAGATAAAACGAGATGGGTACTGTAAAATTAGAATTCGTGAAGTTTTCATTTATTCAAATTGAATCTCAGAGATTGCGGCTATGGTGAATAGTAGCTAGTGTAAAGACTTGAATTCTTTCAAGCGTGAAGTAAATTTGGCTAAATTAGAATCTATATTTTGTACTATGCTAATGAGCATAGTGTACTTGTATATGTTTTGATAGTTCAAAATCATTTTGAAAGATATATTGCCTCGTGTGGTGAGAAGTGTGAGTTGTTGCAAGTTTTGGATAATGATTGCTTTTATTGGATTGATGCAGAGTGTTAAAGGCGTTGATGGAATAAACGTCATGCCAGAGATATAGAATTATTAAAAACTAGAATGTGAATTTGATCAGTCTTACATTTTTTAAATTTTTGTTATATTTTAATTTCGAAGTGATAAATTACAAGGCTCGAAGCTCTTCTAAATGATGTCTAGAGTTTTTTGAAACGTAACATCAAAAATAGGTTAAACATTACCACAAAGGATGGTGCTGAAAGTTTAAGATAAGTGTTTTCATGATTTATGCCACAAATAAGACAGTATGTATCATTATTGTAAAATATCTGTTCTATATGAAGTTTTGTTAATCGCTGAAAGATGTAAAATATTTTGCATTCTTATTTTAAATTTATTCAGATGTCTACATTTTCAGATTTACAAAACTTTTGTTTTCAAAATCTTTTGGAATGTTTGTAATTCTGCGTGTTATTCACTTTATATTTAAAAGAATGATTATCCATAATTGAAGTATAGATTTTTTAAATGCCATTATCAAGCTTGCTGAGTTTAAGTTGTGTTGGTATGATTACTTTGATAGATTTTGGTATTGTTATCTATGTTTCGTGTGATTGATTATTAGACCTTTGCAATCTATTTGTGCATCACATTTTTTTTTGGTGTCATATTGTTTTCTGGCAGGCTTTTTCTCAAATGGGAAAATGGGCTAATGGGAAAATGGGAAAATGGGAATATGAAAGTCAACAAAGGAGCCCTGTAATGTGCTGCTTTTGTACATAGTTAAAGGCATGTACTGTGGTCGGAATTGGAGCCTTCCCCGTCCGCGTCCGTCAACTATGTACAACAAAATAGTTAAAAGGCATGTACTATGGTCGGAATTGGAGCCTTCCGCGTCCGCGTCCGCGTCCGTCAACTATGTACAACAAAATAGTTAAGCATGTACTGTGGTCGGAATTGGAGCCTTCCCCGTCCGCGTCCGTCAGCTATGTACAACAAAATAGTTAAAGGCATTTACTGTGGTCGGAATTGGAGCCTTACGAGTCCGTCCGCGTCCGTCAATCGATGTTGTTTTCAGTGTAAGTTTTTTTGTGTGTATTGCCTGCTTAAAGTGAGGCTAGATTTGTAGATCGATAAGAGTATTCACAGTTGTCTCCAACCTTCTGAGATGGTTTCTACGAAACTGCTGAGTAGATAAATGCCTACAGTGATGGGAGATTTTATGTGGCTTGTGTGTTAGCACCATGTGGTGACTTGAGTTTATGCTACTGTAATTTTGCATTTCAATTGGGATTTTGTTGTTGTGCGATGACGGAGACGATAAATTGTCGTCACAACAAAATTCTCTAGAGTTATGAAGGGAAGATAACTCGAATAATGTGCAATATGGACTTTGGCCTCTGTGATACACAGAGATAATGATTTGAAATTTGAGAGCGACAGAGCTAAGCCTCCTGATTACGATGGAGCTCCCCCACCATTCTTCTGGAACATGGATGATATCTATGGGTCACCTATGGTAACCAACAATACGATGGGTATCATCCATTGGACGACTACATGTACACTAGTCTGAATCATGATGTGATTTACAATGTGCAACTCTACTTTTATGGGGTGAAAGTGTTTATTCTAGCGCTTGGAATGTCCGTTGGTGGATGATTACCATAAAATATCAGAAAATATCCAAACCAGATCTCCAAAAAATTGGTACGCGATGATGCAACTTCGTACTCTACAACTTATCACTTGTGACAAAGTTAGAGATAGCCCAAGTTAGGAAGAGTTAATGAACCCTACCCCTCAGCCTCTGGATTCTCTGGAATTATTCGCACGATGGAAGGCGCTTGTAAGTTCCGAGAGAAAAGCGGAAGCCAACGAGATGACCCTACAAGCTTGGTGAACCCACGGACATTCGTTCATACTTTGTAGCCACCCGAAAGATTGCCATTGTTGGATGATGGATATCGAAGACCGGATTCCCAAAGGAGGAATCGAGAGTAAATCCGGACGTCACTTTGTTTTCTGGCCTCACTTGAGTACTATACTCTTTATTCACAGTGAAAGTGATATCGGATGAAGCACATAACTCGACGGAGTCGCCAACTTCGCAGACTGATCACTATAATCACGAGAAATAATTCTGGAGGATAACTCACTGTGCGCTCCTTTCCTGCCACAGTCACGAACAAGACACGGGAACTTCAAAGCAAGAGATTGTGTTGCACTCCCAAAAACTACTTCAGAATCTAAAGGAAAGAGTAAACAGTGTCGTGGTGGAAATGCTAGTATGCCTGATCAAGTTGGACGATGACGAACCTCTTTTGTTTCAGGATTGAACATGTGGTCAAAATTTATCCTTGTGATAACCTCATCGATAGAAGGATTCACTAAACATCCACTATGAAGAAGTAACGTGTAGGGATGTAACGCAACGTGTGGATTCTCCATAAGCAGCCTCACCTTGGTTGTTCGTGGTACTCATCATGTATTTGTGTGCTACGTGTCAGGTTGAGCTGTTGCGTTGCGCAGATTCTCTTTGTTTGTTAGTCATTTCAGATTCTGTAGTTCGCAGGTCCAGAATTTAAGAGAGACTGACGCTATGTCCTGTGGATTTGGATCGATTGTCGCATCTAAACTTTCGGTCTGTGTTGGTATCTGGAAGAGCACTTACCAAGAGTGCACTCTGCCAGGCCCAGCTCTCGTGAAAGCTCCAGTCTCAAAGAGGACGCGTACTCTGCAGAGTTATTTGCATTCCAATTTCAGACGCTGTCTTCGGCTCGGACGAATGAATTGAATTATCCAGCTTTTCTAACAAGACCTTGCTTGCATTGTCATCTGGAGCACTTCCATGACACATGCAAATACAGTTACAAATAGACGGTTTTATGTAACTTCAGAAAGAGGTTTGAAATGCGTGTCACTTTCAAGTGAGCTAAAAGAATTTCCGTGTGAAGTACTGTAACAGAGCAGGATCACGCTCAAGCTCACACTAACTTATAAAACAAAGCAGGGCGTTTGCCGAAGCCTCCGTCTCCACCTGGTTGCAAATGCCTGATTGCGAATATTATGTCCTTACAAGCAACTAGAGCCGAGCCGACCACACTTCTTTGTGATGTGATGGATTGCTACCTGTGGAGAGTTCTCTTCTACAGACAGCACATCTACCGCTACAGGAATTATCAGTCGCTAATAAGCGTAAAGAGTTACTTCACTGACTTGAATCGAATCACAACTAAGTCCCTATTCATACTCGTACAGCCGAGTTCGCTAGAATGTACAAGGGGATATACCCCAAATGAATGCTAAACGGATCTACTTCCTTGTGGAGCTAAATACATCATACCGAACGAGGAGCTCCAGCTACTCTGCAGCCTCCGTATCATCGAACTGATAGTGCCCGTCCATCTTCATCGCAAATTTCTTCTTGTTGCAGCTGAGCATCTCAGACAACGTGAGGGTGTGCCCTTGCTTCTTCATCTCCTTGTATCTGCCTTCGATGGTTCGGTGCAGACTGTATCCGAAGAACTGCGGGTACAAAACCACATGATCCTTCGGGAGGCCCATCACGTTGGTGACGAAATTGATCTTGGGTTGCAGCGAGTTGTGCACGCTCTTGGTCAGAATTGGAGCAAACCCCGCCACCAGAGTCACCACCTGCTGCGAGGTGAATCCCAAGCTGCGCAGGTACAACTCGGTGGGTCGAAGTGCCCTCTCGGCCTCCCTACAGAGAATGTGGGGGAAAAGTATGGTCACGTTCTTCAGTTGCTCCTCGTTCAGACCCACACCCTGCAGATACTCGACGGTGGGTCGAAGCCTGCTGTCGATGCTGTAACCCATGATATTAGGACACTGGGTAACAATCCTGCCCATCTCCTGCTTATTGACGCCCAGGCCTGTGAGATACGCGACGGTGGGAGCCAATTTCCTCTCGATGCTGTAGCTCAGAAGCCGGGGGCAGCGAAGTATGACCTTGGCGAGATTCTTCTCCTTCACACCAATCCCTTGCAGAAAAGCCAGCAGTGGACACAGCTTCTCGTCCACGCTGTGGGTGAGCAGATGGGGAAATTGAGATATGACAGTGGAGAGCTCTTTCGCGTCGAAGCCCAGGCCCCGGAGAGACATCACCATGGGCAAGAGCTTCTCGTGCACACCCAACACGAGCAGCTGCGGGCACCGGTGGACCACGGTGGGAATTTTTCTGGACGGGATCAGCACCTCCGTCTCCAGAAAGGCCCAGTTCGGTCTCACTCTCTCGGTCAAATTCACGGATGTCAGGCGCACGCATTTGCTCAGCATGTGAGTGATGATGTTCTCCTCCAGTCCCTTCTCTTTCAGAAACGTCACCACCCCGTTCCTCGCTCCGCTGCTGCTGCTCTTCTCCATTTTGCCCAATCTCTCGGCTGTGGTTGTTCGAAGTCAGCGACCAGTGAGAATTCCTCTGAATGTGTGTGGGATTGGGGACCAGCGAAGCCCTCGTCGTCAGCTTGATGCCCTCAAATCCAGAATGCCCCAAACGACCAGCTCTCCAGTCTGCGAAGATATCTCCATTTCAAAAGGCTCCCAACACTGATGGGAAACGTCAACATAGTCCAAGAGATGTTTCTCGGTATCCTGTCAACTTCAGAGTGGAAGTTTGAACTCTCCACCGGTGTCCAATCCTGCGAGACTCCATCCGACCTACGCAATTGCGCATAGAGTTCCGGTCCTTCGAAGTGGGGACCCCTCCATCCCTCAGACACAAGAGCCTTTCACATTCAAGTCGCATTCAGGAATGGGCTCCATCAATCCTGGAGCTGTACGTCATCGATTTGACGGGTAGTTTGGCAATTCCAAGTGGAACTAGGCCAATGTCTAGTGTGCTGCTCAAATCGAACTCGCCTCATCAGAAGCTGCGAGGGTACAGTTCAGGAATCAAGAGCTGGGGGAGCTCGAGGCTAAGAGCTGAGGACCGTCATTTCCACCATCGAGGTCGTTTATTCGTTTCTCTCTTTTCTGTGAACCACAGCGCGGGCACACAACGGGACGCCGGACATGGGAGACGCATGCAGCTTTCATTACTCTCACCAAGTGACATCCTGACTGGAACACGACCTCCACCTAATAGCAGCTGCCGCTGATGCTTAACCGCATGGCGTGCTCTTTATCAACAATGACATGAAATCAAACGTAAAGCAAACGGTGAAAGCTCTTGAGGAAAGTCGGATGCGGATTATACACAAATGCGTTCCGTGTCTTCCGACATCTTCCTCACTATAGCCACCGGAACCAGCATTTGGCTGCTCGTGAACAATAATTGCCCTTTTCTTAAGACGGAAAAGAACCACAATGTGCAAGATTTGTCAAGAACCAAAAGCATTTATCGTACCCTTACACGTTGGTTTCATCCTTGTACGCTGAATGGCTCTTCTTCCCTCACTTTTTGCTACATTACTTGGTTCACCCTTGGCCTTATCCTTCCCAATGTGGCTCTCCGAGCTTGGAAAATCAAGATTTTCGGATGATTAGTAAAAATTAGTTAATTACAGAAGCTGCGAGCTGCAACTCTTGTTAGGAATAAACTTTCACTACTTCGAGCATCGGAAGCAACAATAGTTTACTCGGATTCGATGAGGTCATGCGGAGAAGTGCTGCACGACGACAATGTTAACAAGACTCACGAGAATCCGAAATTCTCCTTTGACCTCCTGTCTCACTCTATGTAGAGATAAAGCTCACGCTCGATATTGGGAAGCAATGGATTAATTATTTCCTGCGACTTCATGTCTCATTGCATAGTTCAACAACAAGATCACGCTCGATTTTGGAAAGAAATTGGTTCTTGTTCCACAGACCTTCCGTCTCAATTTAGAGCTGAAGTTCACGCTCGATGTTGGGAAGAAAATGATTCTTGTTCATGCGACTCACATGACACATATGACGCTCAAATAACAATACCCCTTTGCTAGGCCTCTCTGTGATGTGAAGTTTCTGGAATCTTTCAGCCTTTACGGAGATGAAACGAAAAAAATCTAACTTTGCGTTAAAGATCTCTCTCTTGTAAGCTCGATAAAGAAATATTCCGTACATGAGGACAAAGGCAATCTTATGAGATGATCTTGCGCTGCCGCTGGATCAGATTTACGACGGAAGATGTTTCTTGAGAGAAAAAGTCTCCGCCGGGACATGCAGCGCAACTACTTGGATGCAGGAGCGTGGCCAGTGGCCAGCGGGGTTCCCTGATCACCGTCGACATGTACAACTCAGTTGCGAAGCCCTGTTGCAAGTGAGGCTCCCACGTCCTAGCAGAGTCTCAAGTCGTCTTATGATTCTCACCTCACTCCTCTGAACATTCGTTCTTTTCCTCGAGATCGATACTCGAGGTCGGTGGGTGGGTTTGATCACTAGACCGGTGGGTGGGTTTGATCACTAGACCAGGCAGTCTTCCTTCTTGCAGTTCGGCAGTACATCCCGTCCATCCTCACTCCAGATCAACTATCCTTCACTACTTTCCGAAGGCAAACGGGGTCAGTAGTCGCACATGCCATGTAGAATTTCCAGGATCCATCCTCGTGAGATGCAATGCAATACAATGGTCAAGAAGAGAAATAATGGCCAAAAGAAAAACCTAAAACCGAGGAAGCAATTGTGGGAATACACGATGCTAAACGCGACGACGTGTGCTCCTCTTGTAGAGGAGAGACCTTGGCTGTGAATTTGCCCTTGAAATCGATTGTAGCTCTGAAGTTTGCACTCGACCGAGCGAACCAACAAAAGCACGAGGAAAAGAAGGTTACAAGATTCGTAAGCCCCTTTTGCTTCTCGACAATAAACCACTTAACGATTCCAATACCACGACGAGGAACTCTGGCAACCTCGTGGCAATTCTATAACGCTGTTTCGCGTCCTAAGTGAAACCTCGAGCTTCGAGCTTCCTAGGGTTCGAACGAGCCTACAATACGATCGTTGAGGTCGTCACACTTCTACGTTTGGAATTATGAGTTCTGGAATATTACTTCCATCTTTAGATCGAAACCGTGAGCAAACCTAGTTTCGAAGTGAAGGCACGGGAAGTTCGCCATTGCATCATGTGCTTTCCACATTGGACTCAAAGATTAATTCCAAGGACAGTAGATTGTCTTTATTGTGTCGGACAATACCAACTCCGCCTTATGAGTCAAAAAATTTCATCAGTTTGCTATATGACTGCAATTATGGTTATGCTAAAAAAATGCTCAAATGAGAACATTAGCGAAGCTTAGGACTGAATGATAATATGTATACAAATACATCTAAAAATATAATCCAAATATGAAATCGGTGTGAAATCTTTTTCTAAGAAACTTTTAAAAAAATTATCGCAACTTATATATGATTAAAGGTATCCTAGTGTAAAGTAATTGAGAAATTAATCTTTAGTATGATTATTTTTCTGATTTGATTACATAATTTGATTTTTAACTGATTGAATAATAAACTCTTTGAGTAATAGAGATTTTGAGATTTTGAATCATTCACAGAAGAAAAATCAATACCTTTTACATTGTAATTTTATCGATACTGAATTTAGCTCTAAAATTAAATTCAACTGGAGTTTGCTATTTCAACGCTAAGCACACTTGTATAATGTTGGAAGAGTATTTTGTTCTTTTTTTTCGGTTTGCAATTGGATTACAAGTAACAACCAATGAATTCTTACTATAACAGTTGTGTCTAGCTTGGCTAAGCACATTGATATAAAGTTGTAAAAGTACTTTGTTCTTTTGTTTTGGGTTTGCATTTGGATTACAAGTAACAACCAATGAATTCTTACTATAATAGCTTGTGTCTAGTTTGCCTTCGGTAACGTTACATTTAACAAACATATTGATTGAAAAGAATAATAGAAAATCTTGAAACACATGAAGTAAAAGGAGGTTGATTCAGTTTTATATACATTTGTGAGTAAATTTGATAGAAGTCAACGTTCTCGTTTAAACTTCGTTTTTGACTCCTTGCTTCATGGGATATCATCATTTAGTAAACTCGCATCGACATGATACTTGATGGGTCCATATATACAGGCATTTTCATATTAGTCGGTCGACTAAGTCAACTAAATCAGTTCAATTTAATCGTATAAAAAATTTAGTTTAGATTAATTTAGGCCCTTTTGTGCTAAAAGCCTCATTGAGAGCGAGTGAGGGTTCAGAGAATCACCATTACACGATACCTAAATTAACTAAATCGGCTTGATTTAATCGTATGAAAAACTTAATGTAGGTAAGTTAGGCACTTTTGTGCAAAAAACCTCATTGAGAGCGATTGAAGGTTCAGAGAATCACCACCAAACGATACTTGCAGTTGCTCTATGAGACTCGTGGGTGAAAGAAATTTTAATTTACAAATTCCGGATTATAGCATCGATGAGCTATGATGCTGACGTGCTAACAGACTCATTAACACTTATGACTGAGATCTCTCATTCTCCAATCCTGAGCCAATTATAGTCTAGATGCTCCGGTTAATATAAATTTAAATAATTTAGTCGCCTGCTATACATCCCATCTTGATACTTGATGGGTCGGGTACTACTACTACATCAAGTATCACATATCCCATCGCTATTTCAAGTTACTTGAACGGTCCCAGTAACATGCCCATGCATTTGTAGTGTAGACAAGCCGTTTAGTGTTATTTCTGAAGTCTCGAAAGCAATTAGAAAAACATGTAGACATATACACTCGGTGACAGTGAAGGAGGGACTTTATCTTTGGAGGGAGCTTTGCCGGCGTACATGCTATCATGAGAAGGGTTCAGGTCCTTTTGAATCTACAGCTGGAAGCGTTTTATGGTCTAAGAGCCGACCGTAGAAAATCCTCACTACAATGATTTCTCAGTTCGATCAACTATGTTTGTAGCATATATTTTTGGAAACGAAAGCCAAATCTCATACAATCATAGAAAACATACGCCTCTGTCAGGGCACACCGAAAGTACACCCACATATGCTTCTAATGCCAGACAAATCCACAAGGAGAAAACAATACGAAACTCGTGGCCGTTGACTCCGACTTTCACTCATAAACATACACGCGAGCAGACAGACTGACTCGCATGATGAAATTCATACTCATGGGTATCCCGAATGGCCTCAATGGAGGCATTATTGATAGCCAATTTAAGTCAAAGACAGTCCACCAAAACCAGGAGTCGCTGCCAAAGCTCATAGGCTGCAGACTTCCAGTCAAGAAAAGGTTGCTCTCTGCCCATATGGACAGACTGGTAGGATGGTAAAAATTTTAAACATGTGAAGTACAAGAGATCGGGCAGAAGGAAGAACTGTGTACAATCACTGCTTTCCATTTCCGATTTGGAAAGTAGTGAGCCCTATCATATATCTAAATACAAGGGCTTTTTCTATGGCTCAGCTTCAAACTTGAGCAATAAATTAAACCAAGAGGACCCTTCCGATTACTTGGTAAACAACGAGTGATCAAGGATTCAGGTATATTCTGAGGCTTGGAATGGAACGGAAACCTCATTCCAAGAAATAAATCATTCTGCTCCTAGTAACTTTGACGTCTGATATTAATTGCAAATTCAAGAAAGACTTACAGGAGCAAACGTGTTGAGAATCTAGCTATTACTGTTGGATCTAAAATGCGCTGACGTATGAAACGGGAACAAGCCCAGTCAACTTGCCATCTGATCCAGCGACCTTCTTCTTAACCTGCACATTCAAACTCATTTTAAGTAAAGTATGGAGTATACAAACAAGGCACGTCTATGAACGTACCGCACTGTGGATTCTGCGCATGCTTGCAAGTTAACATGCATCTGGGAATGTGACTATGCACGACCCAGACAAGTTATCGACTTACACGAATACACTCAGATAGCAATGAGCATGTGCTTGGAAGCAACGTTGAGAATAGATGTTTGTACTTACAAAATACCATCCACCGACTTCATATTCTATTTCCAGCTCCTCTCCAGCGGTAAGATTGATCTGTGTTAGGATGAATAAGAAGAATTAGTCTGTTGTCCTCAAAATGATGCAAAAGCTGCGAGAGAAGTTTCAATCGATTTACCTCATCGTCGCCACCGGCAGAAAAGTCGTAAAGAGCAGTTCCCGGCTGTGTGTCATCGTCCAAATTTTCTTCATCGTCTGCAGTCTGAGCAGCTTCCTCATTGAAAGAAGAAGAGCGAGCCATACTTGATTCTTCCTTATCCCACTGCCCACTAGAAGCCTGGTGACAAAGAGGAGAGAGTTTTGAGATTAGGCAGATTGTTTCTCTATTCTATAATGCTGATTGGAACAAGCCACGATTGGGACCGAGACATAATACTTACTACAACACGTATGAAAAGGTGGATTTCCAGATCAGTGCAACGCAAGCCATAGAACAAGGTATAACTACGTTTCATAACCCATTAACCACTCTCGGGCTCACGGAACTGAAAGCTCACAACTCAGTAAGGAACACTACTTATAGTTAAAGTGGATTTAAAATTTTCAGCACATGATTTGACATTGATGTACCTCTGTGGGTGAGTCTGTCTTCGTTTCTCGAAAGGACGATACAGGTTTGGAAGATCCACCACCGACCCTGTCTTCCTGAAAAGTACAAGTCCGGCACAGCAGTGTTAGGATAGCTCAGTAGTCTGTCTAGTTGTTAACACGAGATTTTCTTGCACACCTTGCGGGAAAAGTAGAGCAGTGAGTGCAGACGGCTGTTCCTTATGACAAGTGGATTGAATGCATCCGATAGGAAGCAGCCCAGAATGGAAGGGACGACACGAAAGTTTTTCAAAAAAGATATTGTGATGAGCCTTGTAGTGTACATACCCAAGTTGAGTTTTTGCCAAAAGGTGAGGACGCTGCAGGAGCAAACATTGATGCGTAACGGTTGCTCCCGAAATTCCTTCCTGAGAATCCACCATATGAGGCAGCTGATTCGGGAGAAGATCCTCCCGATGAACGATCTCCATCCTGCTATTCCAAAGATATACACAGTCAAGCGCTCAACCCTCGCATTTTGGCACGTTCATTCATAATTATAGCTTCCCTACCTTTCGATAATGTTTCCCAGTACTTAGATACCGGGCATCTTGGAGAATTTCTTACGAGACTTACCTCCGGATCTGATGTATCAATAAGACCCTTGCTAAATATTTCGTCGTAACTAACAGATGGTCGAGCAGCTACCACCTCATCTTCACTGTCATCTGCTCCAGGGGCATCTGTACCACCTCCTCCAAGGAACTCATTCACCTACACAGGTAACACAACTTCAGTGTTTGCAAATAGGACCAGACTATTCATGTCTACCGCGAATCAACGACCTATAGGGAAACTGCGAGTAACTTCTCTAATTCTGAACTCTACGAAAAAACTTCATTGTAAGAGAAACTGGAGCTTACTGTTTCTTGAGCAGGAATATTCCACACAATGTCATGGTACTCATTATACTCCTTGTCATCCTCATCAGGTGACACAGCTGCGGCTGCAGCTGCAGCTGCTGGCTCAGCATAAAGAGGTTGAAGATCGGACAATCCAGATGCCACTGTGGGATCCAAAAGATCAGATATTCCCGTGGCAACTGCTGGATCGTTTGAACCCATGACAACATCGATGCGATGCCGGTTGCGGTATATGTTCAACAGGTATAGACTGTGCACCAGACCACAATGAGAACGAAATCAGTTATCAATCCACGAGGACACAACAGCTGAGGAAGTTTGTTTGTAGGTTGCAATATTCATCCCACGAATCCTGGCCTCTTGCTTAATTTGCCCTGTGCTCATAGAACAAAAGCCCTGATTGAGCGGTGCTACTAGTAGCATAATAGGAGGAAGAAGTGAGAGGACATAAAGCGGAATAGGAAAAAGGGAGACAAAACGTCAAGGGCGAAGATGCTCTCTTGTGAAGCAATATCTCTCCCCTATATGAGGTTCGTAGCTTCGAAGTGTCCACTATGCACACCATCACTAATGTCATCCATTTTTAGGTTTATATGCCCCATCAGTTATCCTTCAAAGGAGCAGCAGCTTTGGATTGACCTTCGAACCTATTGTTTTCATGAAAACACAGAACAAACCTTGTTGGCCCCAAAGGTAGGTACTTCGATCTAGGAACGAAGCAGAATAGAGACACAAGGTCAAGAAGTCTTTCATGAGTTTCGAAAAGCTTCTTCAACTCATCGTCAGTCCATTCCTCCTTCCTGTTGTCGTGTTGTCTCATGTCTCTGTATAAAGCAAAAGCAAATTACGATTTTGCATCAGATTGATGGTCTCAAATGCCAATACCACAATGAGCAATGAGCAATTTTCCCCACTTAAGTAGTTTATGTAACTAGATAGACACCTGCAGATTTAGAAGATTTTGCAAAGCCGACAGAAAGTATTTGGCTGGATAGCCCCGAAGGTCGGATATAAGTAAAACTTTTTAAGCTCTTTTCATTCGTGGCGAACACGAATTCTTAATCCTCCGAAGAAACAAGTAAGAAAAGTTATATTCGTAGCTTACTTGATTAGTTGATCTTGGCTTTTGTAAAGTTCGTCGAGAACCTTCAGCATGGGAGAGATCACAGAGCTAAGACCTGTGCCACTTGCACCTTGGTCCTCGCCATTACTGGCAGCAAGATCAGATACTCTTTCTTGCGCCCCTCCCTTGGCCAAGGCATGCATGAAGTCATAAATCTGCACCCTGTAGGGTTCGCCAGATCTGATGGCCAAAGTCATCAAAGCTTGTGCAGCCACTAATCTCACCTGCAGTGAAAACGATTTTGCTAGTACAGATTACTGACACAAATTTCACACCAGAGTTTATTGAGGCTATGTCCTCTGCATGTAAAACCCTCATGGGAAGAAACCAAAGTAGAATTACAAAAACGCAGAGAAGACGTGAGCGAGGTGCTCCAGTAGTTCCATTGTTCCGCTCCTTGGCATTAATATTGTAGGTGATCGAACTCTTCAAAAGGATATATTGTAGCGTATGCTGTAACTTTCGAAAGGGTGCTACTCAAACACTCGAATCCTTATTGATAAATAGTGTACAGAAGCACTGACCTCCCAACTTCCACTAAACGCACAGCGTTGAAGCCGCGTCAGAGCTCCTGCAAGCGTTGGATTTCTTGAATTTGCAGCGGCAACCATTTTGTCAGAGTCCAACATCAAGAGGCCAGCCCCAGGAGGAGTGTTTGACTCCCAAGCATATTCAGCTGCAGCATAATTTGCGTTTTCACCCAAGAACCACACCTGCGTGGGGTACTCAATTGTTATACTTTCCCTCAGAGGACGGGTTTTTAAAAAATACAGGCCGATCGGATCGAAACCTCCTTACTTGTATATTCTTCGCTTTGAAAACCACACATTCCACATAGTACAGTAACCAGCAGATTGATCGGATGCAAAAAGGAATCTCAATAAGAGGCTCGCCGAGATGAAACCTATAGATACTTACAGCTGCTTGAATCAAACGCTGTAGAGCAAGGGCAGACTTCGGATCTGTTGCAGATACCCTCGTGTAACCATTCATCGAAATAGGAGGAGGTGGTGGAAGATCCAAAACTACAGTGACAGCTTCCAGAGCTGTGTGTTTACCTTCCGGTCCACATCCCAGCAAACACGTCTGCGGAGAGAAGCCAAATTAAAGAGATGTCATGCTTCACGGATTACCTTCTTATATGAAATTGACGAGACATATACCCATACTTTTCATTTTGTGTAACAGACCTCGTCCTTGGTATAGATTTGGACAATTTCTACGATTTGCTGGCAGTATCCTCGATTCATGACCATTTCGAAAATTTGATTAATTGCTACTGGCTTGAAAGATGTGGTTGATTAACTTAATATACAGAAAAGAGACTTTTTAGTACAAATCACGGGCAGAACCAACTTTTTCAAGATCCTCAATGAAATCATAATCTTTGCAAATCGGCTGAAGAGTGATAAAGGATATACCTTCCAAAGGAGCTGAAGAACGTCAGAGTCTATCTTTCCAGGAACCTTGGTTGCAAAAAGCCGTGATATATCAAGCAAGATAACGGCCATTTCTGGAGTAGCCTGGCAAGGAACAAAAACATGGACCAACATCAAAATTTGAGCACATTCTTGCCACATCTGTAGGTCATGGGTCAAGTCAGCTGAATCTAGTTCGCCACATGAAACACTTCGAAGATACACCAGAAAAGCTTGGTCCAAGTTGTCATATAGTTCAAGAACAAATTCGCTTTGGTATGGAATTTGTGCCCTAAATCCGCTGAAGGAAAGAAAAATGATAGACCTTAAATCGAGCATGTAGCGTCAGCACGATGTCATTCAATAGAGAAGCGGGCCATGCAGGATCCGCTAACTCTCCTGCTATGATGGACTTCAATTCGTCCACGGACTCATATGGTGAAAGCATCCATATCATTGCTTTGATAACAGCAGCTCGTACATACACGCACTCACAAGCAACTGTGATGCGCACAGCCTCCATAAGAGACGATAGCATGCTTGACACAGATTCCTTCCCACCAGTAGAGATGGAGGAGGGAAGTGGTGAAACTTTTGATCGTGAACCTGTAGAATCCCAATGAAGAATGTGAGCAAGACTAAAAGATGTACCATTCCGTACTCATACATCGTCAATTGTGCTTCAATAGAATATGCATCTCAAGTGTGAAGATCAGAGATCTGCGCCCTAGCTAAGCGGTGCTCCATTCATGCTCAAAGCAAACAAAAATTCAAGTAGGTGAATATACCTTCGGTGTCTCCCATATCTGCAGAATCTCCAGTACCAGTATCAACTGTGCTATCTGCATGAGCATCTTCGTCAATACCAAGTCCACCTACAGCAAAAGCAGCGGCACGACTCTTTCCCATTTCTTGAACGACTCTTACTGCTCCGTGCAATACTGGTCTTGAGTGATGTCTTAAAGCTGACTCCAATCTGCAAACCCAATAAGATTTTGTTGGTGAGCAAAAGTGTAGACAAGCTCATCACTTAGCTAAGATACGTTCAAAGTCGACGTTCTTACGGGCTCAATACACAGATAGTCATGATATACATAGCAACACCTAGTCACCAAATTTCTTGTACAAGGTGTCGTTAAGAAAAGGAACGAAAAAACCAGCAACGAAAATTAGCAACTATACTCGATGATAAATCAATAACTTCGTATAGCGATAGCTAACCTCCTCATAACCAGTTTGATTAGAGGCTGCGGACGGCGAGGTCTCGGAACTTGACGATCTTTCGGGACTTTCGGAGGTATTCCATCTTTGGCAGGGGCAGCGCCACCATCCTTTGACGAGGGTGCACCATCCTTATTTGGAACAGGAGCAGGCTCAGGAAATCTGAGTATGGCTGTGATGAGATGAGCCCATCCACTTGCACGTATCTCGGTGCTATGGAGGATATAACCAAAGAACCATCAAGATCAGATTAATAACGAGGAAAACTTGCAAACGCAATACTTCCGTGAGCCAATGGCAAGATTGCTTAGAATCCAAAGAAGAAGAACTATTATAACCTTCTGGGCTTATGCCGAAAGTAATCAAACTCGACAATCCAGAGTTTCATTCTCTGATTACAAATGGCGAAATTGGAAATGTACAGATCCACCTTTGATCTTAAGTGAAAATTAGATCATGATTTCCGAGCTTACCCTTCGCTACCATCAACCTTCCCGAGGATGCAATTGATTGCTTCGAAACAAACCCGTTCACTGGGATCAAGGAGAAGCTGATACAGAATTGTTCGAAAGTGGGATTTCAAATCAGGTTTCTCTGCAAATATCCAGAAGGGAGAAAAGTTCAATTTTTGTTACAATTCATGAAGTTATCTCAGGTCAACAGTTGTGCAAAGGGCACCAAAAATCCAAAGATCCTTACCATCAAGGGCATCGGCGCTTGACAAAATATAACAGAGACGAGCTAGGTAAACCCGCGCTAGAACATCATGAATCTGCAACACCTCTTGTAGGGAACCTGCACACATGGTCATCTGAACCTGTGAAAATACAAGAGGACTGCTAATTGAATAGCAAACCAATTGAGCTCAAGAGTCTAAATCTTCTTTCTTCTTTACGATTCTCATTATACACAAGTTCACGGAGCGAACGCCTTCTTGTACGTGAGCAGAAAGCAAAATACGGGATCAAAAAACTTACCTCCAGCTAGAGAAAGCTTTGCTGCAAAGAGAAGGACAAACAAAGAAGACAATATATCAATCATCTTGATGAGCCACAGCTAAAAAGACAGCAGAATTATTTGGCGGAAGGTGGTCAAAACAAAGTGCAGCAAGTTAGGAAGTATGAAAAGCTAACGTAATCAAGAGACTGAACCATTTCCATATGAGGAACCTACCGACGGCCATAGCCACGCTAAATGGGTCCCGAGGAGCAAGTTCAGAGACCATCGCCAATGCATGTCTTACTCCAACGGGATCTGCACATGCTATACTGTCTCGAAGAGCAAATTATCCAGACAGTATATACGGATCAGCTTCGGAGGAGCTCATTTACCCACTTAAAACAAATGTCTCGTTCAACTGCATTGACAGGTGAGAATCACAAAATCTGCAGTTGACATAAGAGTAAATAAAAGAATTCAATCCATGGAGTCAGGAGGTGGCGTACCCTTGCACAGCCCGATGCAGATATGCTGGATTATCCGGATCAAGTGGCAGCCTTCTTAGCGTACTCAGTGCACCATACTGTAGATTACTACGAGTGGCTGACTGTAATACGAAGACACGGAAGGTTATCAACAGGACTGCAAAGTTACACGCAATCATCTTAATAGGTTGAGAACCCAAAACTGGATTACCATCTTCTTCATTGACTCAAAGAATTTTCCGGCCGATACATGGAAGAGGTAAGTCAAACTACAGCTTGAAGTTAACTTCGTGTGAGATCAATCGATGAGGAGCCGCCATGATAGGCAGAGTTGGGAAAAAAAGTCTATAATACTTATATAGAACAAAGTGCAGGATGCACGTCTTGCAGGACCCCTTATCGGGAACCACCAATGACGCTGAATGACAATACCTCTTTATCAACGCTCTGCCTCCCAAACATGCCTTTTTTTCGCCTCAGTTTACCCGCATCTGCGACCTGCCAGACAAAGAGTCGAGATTGTTCTTCGAATTAACACCAGATGTGGGCCCGGAACTCCTAGGACACACGTACCTCTTGATGACTGGGAATCCTTCCACATCCAGACAATGAATGGCTTGGGGCATTACAAGTAAAAGTACTATCTTAACTGAGGTACCTTATCAAGAATTTTGAAGACAATCATGTAAAGCTTGCCCAAAATCTCCTCGCTGGTGATAGGAGCGAAGCTCAGTGCTTTGAGAGCTGCAATTCTCCGAGGATGAGCTGGAGCCAAAATAAACATTTGTCAGTATTTCGTTATATGTTTGAGAACGAAGGGTCCAAGATGCTAAATGTGACGTGGTCTTAGTTCATAGAACGTCACCTGCTGGGTCAATATTAGCAGCTTCAACGGCAAGACGTTCAACAATCTGAGGAACGACATCAGCCCTAGTCACAGCACCAGCAACATTCAAAGTAGCAAGGGCATCCCAATTCGGAGTTGGAACACCGCCTCCAGGTGTGATCCCATGACTTCCACTTTCTGCGAGCACTCTAGCCAGGTAGTAGTACACATATCTCACGACATGCCTGTCGTCTGCCTGCTCGTGCAACTGGAGTCCAGAGAAAGTAGAAGATTCAAAAATATAATCTATCACAGTCGCACTTAATAGGAAAAAAAATAGACAACTAACAAGGAATAAAGGATAAATCGACGCCTTCATGCATCATATGCTTCAGATTCCTCTACAAAAGGAAGAATTTGGATAACCACCGAATAATTTTGTGTAAACTCAAGCAAGACTTAGTATATGTGAAGGAGCAGCAATATCATATTTTGGCCTCAAATTTCGACAGATATGCAACCGGTCAAAGGCAACCTTAAAAAGTAATAGAAGACTAATTCAGTCCAAAATGGCTGTAAATTGTCAATCCCATCATATAGAGCAGGTAACCTCTAGCTCTATTTCGTGAGTAAGTTTGCATACGCAAGACACAGATTGCATGAGACGCAAGAAAATAAAGTCCGTCCTCATGAAACCAAGATGAAAGGGACTAGTCGGTGCCAAATTTTTCACCGAACAGAATTAACAGAGAAGAACGGAGAGGCAACAAAAACTCGAACATGAATTGAGCTGAGGAAAACTCCTTGACTGACCTACCGAATACTTTACATACATGAGGCCTACCTGGAGCAACGCAGGAACTAAGGAAGGGTCCACCGAACTGTACACTGCCAGCTTTGGGAAAACTTGAACTTGCAACTGCTTTTGTGCATTTTTCTGCAAACAACGTTAAAGAGACCATATTTACGTCAGATTCTTACACAACCTTAAATTTCATAAGCATATGAATAATAATACTTCAACCTTCCGCTACTCAAAATGTACTGGTCGTGGGTATACCTGGTCAGGAGACGCAGCTAAATCATTGAGTAATCTCGCCAGCTGAGAATATGTGAGTGGCTGAGAACAAAATATATAATGTTAGAAGGCAAAATGGATACAGATATTGATAATAATAATAATTACTCAACTAGAGCTATTCCACATAAAGTACAAGCATGATCAAAAACGCACGTTACTGGAGCAACTGGAGAAAGTTACAATTTTAATTGTAGAGCTCTGAAAAAAAATTGGAGTTCCGAGAACAAAGACTGATGGATATATTCAAATTACATACATCCAACTCGAGTGGAAGCTAAAGCACAGAAGCTTGGTGTAAAGCAGAAAGGTTATCACATCTCTCTCAAATACCTTCTTCTTCCTTTGACCAAGGCCAGTCTTCATTATCGGAGGAGACAAGACTCTAGCTGGAGACATTGTTTCCGTGGGAATCTGCAGATTCATTGTACCCGGGGGTTTCTTCGCCGATCCATCACTTGACGGCATAACAGGATCGGCCGATATGAGATCCATGAGAGACATGCTCTCCCTCCCACCGCTTCCAGCTCCACCCTGCGATCCCCCTAATGCCGCCATTGAATGCAAACTACACCTCGCACTCTCGCCAATCTAAGCGTCTCCCAGATCTTGTGAACCGACGTCGAGGAATGGGAGTAGACCTGATACGTCAAAGAGAAATGTCATTCCAAATTCACTAACGAAACCATTGTCATCGGAGAGATCCTCAAACAGAGGAAAAGAAAGCAACGATCACTGGCACACGAGAGAAAACGAGGCCAGAAAATCCATCAATCGCCACAAGACGAGGGGCGACCGAAAGCAGTACATTGTCAACTCGAGAGATTTCAAGGAAAAATGACATAACATTGCGCAGCTCCACGCACAGGACTACCGATGACAAAAAAACAACGACGCATGCTTCTCGATAGTGACGAAAAGTGACAGACAAGTTTCGCCAGTCACACCTTCAGCGAGAGCGAGCATTGCGTGACATCCGTTCTTAAGAGGACACGCAGCTACAAAATCCGACAATCGCACTCGCATTCAAACGACTGGAGATTTGGCGACAAATCTCGAAACCGATTCTTCCATTGGTTTGTAGGACGAGAGCACGGCCTTCTTCGAGCCGAAGGTTGCCCCGTCCGTCTTTCCCTGATTTACAGACTTGCTTACAGTCCCAACGAAGGGCCGAAGTCGCAGAAAACAAAGAAGACCGGAGGAACTTTTATTCGTCGTCGATACAGTACAAGTGTGACCGGAGAGTCCGTAATGGGCTTTGAACCCTTTTGCAATTGTGACCGGCTCGCACAAATTTTTGACCGGGGAAAGCGTTGTCTTGAAGCTGATGAATATTGACCGAAGCGCTATGCCGTATTGTAGAAGATCTACCATTTTCGCTATGACAGGTTGTGTTTGGAATCACTTCGCGAATGATACACTCATTTTGTTAATGTGGTGACCACACTATACAGTTATTTGACTACTAAGTTAGAAGTTTCACAATATGAAGATTGGCTCAATAAAGACATCTCTTGTTTTAAACTAATGCATTGGATACACATTCTAAAAATGTTATTCATGCTACCTAGACTAACCTGCATTGGTCGATTATGTAAGACGAAAGTATGATCTTACTCTCTTATGTATTGCTTGTCAGTGGAGTTACCAGCTTTTATAATTATTATCACGCTTGAAAGACATTGATAGTTTGATGTGTGACAAGACACCAAGACAAATATGTTTATCATATGGAAGTGTAGTTTTATCATTTATGGAATAGACGTTATCAATATCCGATTGACTAACTAATCAGTATAATGTAACCTGTAGAAAATTAAAGACATTTTGCTTTTCTTTTGATTGTGATACCATATTATTAGTATAGAAAAAATCACATGTACAGCATTTTTTTAATTAAACATGAAATTTAAAATTCTCAATTCAAAGTACATATGCAATATTTTCACTTTGAATTAATTAATATACATAATGATCAAATAAAATTGATCAATTATCATGAAAGTTTCAATCATAATAGAGTTTAAAAAGACAATTCTATCAAAATTTACTAATTGAAGCAAATCATGTCAAAATTATACTTTTATTACATAAAAAATATACGTTTTAATTTTAAAAACGAATTAATATATATAAGCCAATGATTTATTTTTGATAAATTTTTCATTAAAATTATTTCTTTTATTTTGAAACTTAAATCATCAAAGAATGATTTTCATAATAATGCATCAGTCTTCTCCAACCGAATTTTTTAAATTTGAGAGCAAAAAAATTCTTACACATGAGATAAATTTCACATACAAACTTTTTTAAATTTAATTATAAAATATAACTACATATATTTAAAATATTTTTGTAAATAATAATAATAATTAAATAAATTTTATTAATATTAGAAGATTAAAAATTTATATTTTATTTACATTGCAAACCTTTTTATCAGAATACGCTGATATTTGAAAACGGAGAAATTTTAAAATATATACTTAACTATTATATATAGTTTCATTGATTCTAGATTTTCAAATTTTTGAATATAATTTTTATATTAGAGATATAATTACATGAAAAGATGATAATTAAACTAAGCCTTTGTATGAGGTCAATTTTCAAAAAATAAAACATAATTATTTGAAATATATTTTCATATATAATTTTTGAAATTGAGTTATCTATTTAATAAAAAATAAAAGTATGCCCAAAACTTTTTTCTTTCATTTTCATATGATTATAAAATTAAAAAATCTATTTATAAATATTTTTAAATTCAAAATTCTGCATGTCATTTAACATAGATGAATTATTTTTAACATATGCATGTAAAACATATTATATTGATAAATTGATTATAATAAATAACACAACACTTGTGTGAGATAAAATTATTATATTTATGTAAATCTTTGCTAAATATACAATCAAAAGTAAAATTGGTTCAAATTATAAAATGTAATTTTAAAAGTTATATATATATATATATATATATATATATTTATTTATCTTTATATGTGCATTATATAAGAATAATTTCTGAATTCAAAATAAGCTCTTATACAATTCTGCATGGATATTCATGTGATAGGGTTGGAGTCACAACCTTAGGAACTTATCTTTGGACAATGCAAGTAGGGCAAAACCATAAGCATGTATCATTAGCATTTTTTCATATGATGCATGCCCTTATGGACGAATCAAACGCAAACGCATTACAACAATTGAAATTCAAATTTCACCACTCATCACTCACAACATTTTTCAATGACAACACTTAAACAAAGGCTTGTATGGTCAAGTAGATTGTTCAAAGTATGATTTGTCTTCAATTCAGTTGAAGTATTTACCAAGCTCATCAAGTTACTGACTCTTGAAATATCATTGTGACTTCAATAAAGACATAACGTAAATAATACATGAGTAAGGTCGGAATGAGTTGATTTGTTCTTTTGAATTTTTTTATACTGTACTACACGCATGTCCAAAATAATGAAAAATGACTTCTGATCTTGAAAGTCACGATATTCATTCTTCAAACTGTTGAGTTTAACTCCGGTTAAGGAATAACCTCAAGCTATAGCTATTTATAGCTATGTGTGTTGTTGGCTTTGGGTATAAATATACCCCAAGGCTTCTACTGCGGGTGCATTGAGTTGTCAGTAAATATTTTCGTGTGTTTCAGCCGTGGACGCAACCCCTGAGGGTGAACCACGTTATATGAATGTCTTGTGTGTTTCTACTTGACTTGAATGATTCCTTGTTTTACATTTAAGACAAACAAATTTGTTTTGACTCCAACACTATGTGATGAACACACATCAACAAAAAACATATTTTGATGTTGCATATCATCAACGATTTATAACATTTTAAGATTTTTTTTAAAATTTATTATATATATAATTATAATTATAATTATAATGCATGAAATTAATTTTCATGTATAAAATTTCTATTATGATTTAAGTGCTCTAGTTCTACGTACGATTTGTGATGCATTTACAGAACAAGTAGATAGTCAACTATCATGAATAGGATGATATTTTTTTATATCTATATATTGATTATGTGACAAGACCAATCATCCATATAATAACCTCTACTCTAACGTCTTCTCTTCGTTGTCATTGATTTTGAATTGCTTTGGCTTTTCAATTTCTAAGATGTTTACTTCACTGTACTCTTTATTGTCTTGCTTTTGCTTGTTGTAAGCTAACATGAAATTATCTTACTATTGCTTAGGCCTTGGCCAGGTAAGGTAAAAGGTAATCGGGTAATGCATGGGCCTTTGCCTTTACCTTAACTTTTAACTTACTCCCGCCACTACTATCTATCTTTACCTTTTACCTATACCTTAGAATAATTACCTGGTTACCTGGTACGGATTCTTAAAGGTTAAAAAGTTATCCTTATTGTTAACCTTTTAGGGTTACGCAGTAAATTTACCTCTTGGTATAAAAGGTAGAGGTTAACCTTTCAAAATTACCCGATAAATCTAACTTTTAGGGTCTAAGGTAGAGTTAATAGGGTAAAGTAATAGATTATACGTCTGTTTACTCTCCACGGATGCTCAATCTGTAAGTTTTTGTCATATTGCCTTGTTCATATCAGTGTAGTCTCTTCTCTTCCACCTTGTGTTCTTTGTAGGGGGCAAAGTATTATCTACTTAGTATATTGACTTAGCTTTTTTATGTAATGTTTTACAGATCTTACGAGCACATTGTACTTGTTCACTATCGGAAAGTTACCGAGGTGAGGATAACACTGATGTGGACGACTTTTGTAGATTTCTTGTTTTACTTCTCTCTGGACCCTCAGTGTATATGAATAATCATTTTCTTTGATGTTCTCCATCTTTGTTGTCCAGTGTGATGACCTTAATGTTCTTCTTTGTAGTGTCCCTGTGGTGGAAGTAGTGACTTATTCAGTCCAATCCTTTCTCACTAGTTTTTGAAGATTAACTGTACACAAGCTCTTCAACGACTTTGCTTTCGATGATATGGCAAAGTAAAGCAGCACAACATGGACGAAACAACACATTACAAACACACCTTTTCCATACATACTCCTTACAAATCTTAATACACATTTCCAACATCTCTTGCTTCAATGATGCACTAGTATCGTTAAAGCAAGTGAACAGACATTTCTAGATCGTCTACAGATCACAATACATTCCAGCAAGTCAAAGACAGAGCATTCACAAGGTTTGAACTACTGTTCTTCACATGGAGCTGAGAACCAGATAAAGCATTCAAAGTCACGGTCTGCTTGAGATCTCTTCCAGCCAGCCACAACGTAAGACTTTCACGAGATGCTCACAATTGTTTCTGTCCAGAATTTCTTTCAAGATGATTATAAAAGTCTTAAAAATGCCATGTGAATGAAAATGCAACTTGACAGAAGATATAACAAGCAACTTGACCGTGAAAATGTCCAAGAAAACTAGAGAGTTTATCGTATAGTTTATTGTAAATTACGTTATAATTTACTTATTTTAGTCGAATCCGAAGTCATGTTCAGCGTCAAAGACAAGTTTGGAGAATTGAAAATGGAGCATGGCAATGACATCATCTTCAAGTATCTCTTCATTCCAACCGCCTTGCTCCTCCTCAAGATGTTGGACGATCGACTTCAAAAAATTTTCCTCGCCTTCAGCTATGATAGCCATGGCCGCCGCCGCTTGATGCACCGGCACTTTGAGGATACATGCATTCATCCACGAATGGAAACACATGACCATGATGAATACTGACGATGACAATGAATGTCGCATACACGTGAATTCACGACCGGCTGCACTATTCACGCGCTCTGATGGCGTCGACGTCGCTGGTGTCCCTAGATAGTCCATTGCCATCTGGTAATGCGCATAGTTCTGGGCTGACCATCACGACAAGAGATCGATGAAGCTCGAGGCATGGACAACACCGATCAACAAGTACTGATCAACCTCATCGCTCATTCCATTGTCAACGCCCTACGGTTGAAACACTGTGGCGAATAGCGAATTGCATGACGCTTTCGATGGTAAATCTTTGCTCTTGGTCTAACTAATTTCACAGAGTAGCGCCGTTGCAGGACGTTGCGTACGATATCAGTGACAATCATCAACTCGGCAAGATCAGTATGCTTCGGGATTTAAGGGTTCAAATACGTTGCGATGATGGCTAGTTCTTGCACCAACTTCTTCTCATACGATTGC